CTCAAACAAAAATATTCAAGACGCCTTGTAATTTGCTTCAAAGATATGTCATTGGGGTGAACAAGCAGTTGTGTTTCAAGTGCTGATGAACTGCTAAGTGTATTCCTCCATTGCGAAGGTAATTGGGATTTATTGAAACTGAAAGACAGGGCTCTTTCAGAACTGAGTCCACTTACTTCTAGTCTAACTGCATCAGTTCTGTTAATTCACAGTCTGATTACTCGTCAGTAATAGGGAGATCGCCGTAAGGAACACTTCATTCTGGGCGCAAATGTGTAACAGGACTGTTAAATAAATTACTTGATGTCCATTCCACCTGGCTTGACACATTGGCTACTTTAGACTCCTGGCTTGACACATTGGCTAGTTTAGACTCCTGGCTTGACACATTGGCTAGTTTAGATTCCTGGCTTGACACATTGGCTAGTTTAGACTCCTGGCTTGACACATTGGCTAGTTTAGACTCCTGGCTTGACACATTGGCTAGTTTAGACTCCTGGCTTGACACATTGGCTACTTTAGACTCCTGGCTTGACACATTGGCTACTTTAGACTCATGGCTTGACACATTGGCTAGTTTAGACTCATGGCTTGACACATTGGCTAGTTTAGACTCATGGCTTGACACATTGGCTAGTTTAGACTCATGGCTTGACACATTGGCTACTTTAGACTCCTGGCTTGACACATTGGCTACTTTCGACTCTTGGCTTGACACATTGGCTACTTTAGACTCCTGGCTTGACACATTGGCTACTTTAGACTCCTGGCTTGACACATTGGCTACTTTCGACTCCTGGCTTGACACATTGGCTAGTTTAGACTCCTGGCTTGACACATTGGCTAGTTTAGACTCCTGGCTTGACACATTGGCTAGTTTAGACTCCTGGCTTGACACATTGGCTACTTTAGACTCCTGGCTTGACACATTGGCTAGTTTAGACTCTTGGCTTGACACATTAGCTACTTTAGACTCCTGGCTTGACACATTGGCTAGTTTAGACTCCTAGCTTGACACATTGGCTACTTTCGACTCTTGGCTTGACACATTGGCTAGTTTAGACTCCTGGCTTGACACATTGGCTAGTTTAGACTTATGGCTTGACACATTGGCTAGTTTAGACTTATGGCTTGACACATTGGCTAGTTTAGACTCCTGGCTTGACACATTGGCTACTTTAGACTCATGGCTTGACACATTGGCTAGTTTAGACTCTTGGCTTGACACATTGGCTAGTTTAGACTCCTGGCTTGACACATTGGCTAGTTTAGACTCATGGCTTGACACATTGGCTAGTTTAGACTCCTGGCTTGACACATTAGCTAGTTTAGACTCCTGGCTTGACACATTGGCTACTTTCGACTCTTGGCTTGACACATTGGCTACTTTAGGCTCATGGCTTGACACATTAGCTAGTTTAGACTCATGGCTTGACACATTGGCTACTTTAGACTCCTGGCTTGACACATTAGCTACTTTAAACTCCTGGCTTGACACATTGGCTACTTTCGACTCCTGGCTTGACACATTGGCTACTTTAGACTCCTGGCTTGACTGAGGCATTGAAACTGATAACTGTTGCAGTGCTGCAAACATTAACAGCTAACATTAGCCTATTGAATGTTTGAACAATATATGCCCTACATGTACAGGACTTCAACTACAGATAAACGCCTCTTGCATGATTTAACAGCTTTTAATAGGCTATATCTATTGCAAATTATATACTACCTGTTGCTGAAATTTAATAAAATTGTCAGTCTGCCATCCACAGACTTCACAACCTGCAGGTCCTGACTAAACTCTTCAGGCCCTCAGTAAAAAAAGGTGCAGCTTAGTGTGACATAAATTGGCATGTAAATTTACTGCAGGCCATAAGAACCCAAACAAATTTTAAACTATCTGAGATCTATGTGCCACTGGCCTATGGGCAGGCGCTTATCTCGAACAATGTATACTACTCAAAAGAACTTAAGGATCACCCGATTCTTTCATTTTACTGTCGTGGCATGATAGTAACCAGATGATGTTCATAACATCAATCACTGGATTGTCTGGTTCAGATTCGAATATTTACAGGCTGCTATAATACAGCTGGAATATTGCTAAGTGGCTACACAACAAACAAAACAAAAAAAACATTAAATAACATTCACTCGGATTATTCCGTACCGACAGCAATAGTCTATCTTCCCAGCGCCATCTCTGGCTGATGGTGGCAGTATGGATCTGTGCTGGGTAACTGAGACAGTGTAGGTTATAATGGAAAGGGACATTTCTTGACCGACCGCTGTCCGATTGATGTCCAGCTGTCACAACACCGTGTCAACCTCATAAAGTGGAATTGGGAGGGAGTGTTGAGGAAATTATTACACTCTCTGCATTGATTCAGGCGGAATGAACTCCCAAGTAATTGAAAGGAACTTGTAACTAAGACAACGGAGTTGTCAGGCTGTGAGACAGTGACACAGACATGTATTCACTGTGTGGGATGTTATTAGATCATGCTGCATGTATAACCATGCCACATTGGTCCTCAACAAGACACAGACACAAAATGGGGTTCTGGTTCCGAGGTCCAATATTTGTTGGAATTTAGTAATTTGATGGTGTCTGTAGGACGGAATGTTAGGACGATGTGTAGGCGAGACTCAGTAGGATAAATGATTGACCTTTTAGCAGACCAACTGTAGGTTGAAACACTATTGAGATATTGGATATGTTATGCAGGGTTTTACAGCATGAAAAACATTGCATCCTATGTATAAAAATTAAATTGGACGCAACCTCTGGGCACAAAATGTATACATGTATGTTGAGGTGATTGAAACTTCGTAATTTTCCGCAAGATTGATCTAACATTTCTGTTCAGAAACCATACCGTATTCGACGTAAAAAGTGCCCCACTCTAATAAGCGCCCATGGCGATATTTGATGATATATTGGCTAGTGAACAATCCCAATTAGCACCTCTTCCGATTCTTGTATAATACGTGTGTTATATGCATCCTTACTTATCGGAAATTAAATTCTGGAAAAATATATCTGTCGTATATAAACATTTCAGGCTGTCAGCATAAACCACGAAATTTACGAGCTTTCAAATCTGTTGTTTTTCACCAAAATAATATTCTAATGAGAGCCCCTATTTCTAATTTTGAGAGCGCCCTGGGCGTTTATTATGTCGAATACAGTGTCAATATTCGGAAAGTTGAGGTCAGATTTTCTTCACCCAATTACTAAATTTTTATTTGAATTAGGACACCCTACCCTTGATAAGCATAAGACATCACACATACTTTGTATTTTATTTGCTATTGGTCCACTGGTCACCGTGGGACACAATTTTGGTGTCTGATATTACCAAGACATAATGGTACAATAATTGCTCTGAAAGGCAGAGCCAAAGAAATGATCCTTTTGGGTAAATCCTGAGAGAAAAAATCTTTTCCGATTTTTTTCTCATTATGTATACTGAAATACTGAATAGTCTGTAACATATGTTGGTCAAAATGTGGTTGTGAGAAATGCACATCATCTGTAATAGTTTTTCTGCGTATATGATGGTCATTTCAGTCACTGCAGCACATGGCTGACTAAGCCAAGATGAAAGCATCATGTCTTAGAGATACATTTGCGTAAATGAACACACCACCAAAATAAATTACCCCAAATATTTTTGTCTGTATTTAGCATGGTTAATGTTGAGCATATCTCCCTTAAGATTTGCATGGTCAACAGTGTGGCAGTGTTTTGACTGGCAGAAGGAAATATCTTTCCAAGATTCAGTGAATCGATACTGGCTGATTCCTTTGTCCCAAGGCGTTCGCCCTCTCTATGACTTGTGCCATCACCATGTCTCTTCCACTGAGGAGCACAAGGCAGGGGTCCCTGGCTATATTTATCTTACGACCAGATCGGGTTACAGACACCAGGCTATTTATAGCCACATGACCTCATGCCGAGGCCTACAATCTATTTGTGGTGCAAAGTTTGAGGAAGCTTACTTGCAGCTGGGGGGTGGAGAATTGAGGGGGGCTGCGGTGTTTGGGTCATGGTGTGTCCAGGTAGTCGGTCAAGGTCAAGGCTACTACATGAGAGCTGTTTATACATGGTTTAGGTGGGACTGCGTTATAAAGTGGGCTCTCACGAAGTTGTGAATGAAATACCTGGACTGTATTGTCTCAAGAGGAATCTGATGGCACCAGTAGTATTTACTGTTACAACTTCAAGTCCTGGCAAGAAATCCTAGCATAGTCATAGCAATATACTGTTGGTGTTACAACTATTAATGATAGACAAAAGATACTGATCATGTAACGACTGTTAGAGTAAGAATGCTATACTAGTGTTTCACCCAACCATCCAACCCAAGGAAAATGAAATAAGAATGACTAAATAATAAAGCAGTTTGTTAGACTATTTTTTTCTCATAAAATAAATATATTCCACGGTCCAGGTGCGGGACTAGCAGAAAGTTTACTTGAAAGTATATCAGTGTTGTCCTACTTTAATGACTTCTTGTAACGACTTCTTGTCAACTTTACAGTTTAAAAACAATATTTCTTTGCTTTTGGCCTCTAATGAGCTCTCAGGTCTAATGTGGCCAAGATAGTCTATCAAATATGAAATATATTTCAATTAAAAGTCCATGTTTTTGTGTGATATCAGGGATTCATCTAGGCCTGCTCAAAGGCTGATATTCAGCCCCAAGTCTGCAGCAGATGACAGTAAAAGTTCCCAATTTCAATTAAAAAAGTTCCAATTCCTCAGAATTTTCAAAAATTGAAACATTAGAGTAATCCAATTTGGAATGATATCATGATTTTTTTCACAATTTGCATGCCAAACACACTTTGTTTGGAGTCCTAGATAAATCCCGGGGAATGTCTGATCCAGTGCTTGAACCACTGAGGCAAGCATCTTCTTTTGGCCCATACAAGTGTGTATATTCTTTTCTGTAACTTAGACACTGACCAGTCCTTTTTGTCTGTTCCAGATCTGAACACCAACAAGACGTTGATCGAGCACTATGACATCACCAAGTCCAGCTTCACCATCCGACACACAGAGGACTTCAATGGTGAGACTAGTCAGGAGGTAGTGGTCTTGTTTCAGCCCTGGGATTAGAGTACCTTGAATGTTGTAACAGTTTGATGCTCTCCCCTGTAATAATTGGATCATGGCGGCAATCATGTCACTGTGGGCTGTAATAATCTGACTTTCACCTTTAACAATTTGTGACTCTAGGCTGCAATAATTTGACTCTGGACTGTAATAAAATGACTCTAACCTTTAGCAATTTGGCTCTAGGTTGTAATAATTTGACTCTTGGCTGTAATAATTTGACTTTTGGCTGTAATAATTTGACTCTTGGCTGTAATAATTTGACTCTAGGCTGTAATAAAATGACTCTAATCTTTAGCAATTTGACTCTAGGCTGCAATAATTTGACTTTAGGCTGTAATAAAATGACTAATCTTTAGCAATTTGACTCTAGGTTGTAATAATTTGACTCTTGGCTGTAATAATTTGACTTTTGGCTGTAATAATTTGACTGTAGGATGTAATAATTTGACTTGAGGCTGTAATAAAATGACTCTAATCTTTAGCAATTTGACTCTAGGTTGTGATAATTTGACTGTCATCTTTTAGCAATTTGAGTCTTGGCTCTAATAATTTGACTCTCATCCTCAACAATTTCACTCTAGGCTGTAATATTTTGACTCTAGTTTGTAATAATTTGACTCTTAATTTGTAATAATTTGTAATAATTTGTAATAATTTGACTCATTATATTTGAGTTTGTTATAAGTGTGTTCCTTATGAACATAGTTTACTGAATATCATAATTTTGTAAATTTTTGCTCTCTAGTTTTCAAACTATATTTTTGAGAGGTAGAATTTATGCTAGATCTAATCGTTTACAACATTCACTTAGGAGTGACCCTATTGAAAATTGTTTGTGCAGAAAACTTTAAGGACCAACAGACCACCTCAAAATCTAACACTGTCACAACAAAAAGCTCAATACTTGTGTCTAGTTCTAGAACAAGTTTTCTCTGTGTTTGGATGTTAGACCACATTGGATGTGCATATACTGTGAAAAAAGCCACACCTGACTATTTAATAAAAAATATCCTATGCAGTTATGATGTAAAGATTAACACCTGTTAGGAAATATGATAGTTGTGATATTTTCCTTTTGTCCAAGCGCACAATAGACACAACTTTTCCTCGCATGTAGACAATACATTTGTATTTAGATAATGCCACAGTGATCATTCACATCCTGATATTTTTCCTCCAGTAGCCTGTGTTGGTCGTAGAGGCAACTAAATGTCCCAGATCAGGTGGTCAGATTCAATGACATTTCTCATATCAATCACTGTCGTTTTTTGTTTTTATTTCCTAGCTGCCATGTGATAAGGTTGGAACATAATGGCGGGGACCCCTGAAATGAACTTTACACATTGTACACATATGAGATTGTCACCGAACGAGCGAACACTTTAACCATTAGGCCACCTGGAGGCACGGGTGGCCCAGTGGTGCAGAGTTGCGTCCCTTGGGCATGCCAGAAAACCTATGATTGTGGGATCCAGTCCTGGTTCGCCCCGATTATGTTTCTAGGTTTGTCAGCACCATACTTGGTTTGTTGGTTTCACCGAATTGGTAAACGTATGAGACCTGCATCACTTCGGGCTTTCCTCCCACATTAAGCTGACATGTCGTAATATAACTGAAATACTGTTAACAGCGGCGTTAAACCCAACTCACTCACTCATTAGGCTACCCCACTGACTACTTTCTGTCATCTTCCTGAGGCAAGGGAATTAACTGACTATAAAAGTCCAGTTTCCACTAGGCTGGAATTTCTAGGCTTGATTGTAGCGTCACCAGTGGCTATTACAAGTTATGTCCCTTCTATTTTCCTCCCATTGACCAATCAGATTCCATGTCTCATATCCCTTGCATTTGCTTCAAACAAAATGGCGGCATTGGTGTGCCTTCCTGACCCAGGCACAGTTATTACCAGGCTACCTTGATATTTCCTATTCTCTCTATTAACCATCCAGCTTCTATTAATGCCCCCAGACCCTCTTCTAGACAAATCTGCAAGCCATTTTTTTAGGCGCTCCTGTGCAAACCCTGAAAGTTTACATGAGAGTCCATAGTTGCCTTAACATTTGAGCTAAGTTTACATTCTCCCACCCAATCTCTGAAGTCAAATTGAAATCTGTGTTTATGGTTTGTATTATAGTCAATATTGAGCACACCTCACCTCATTCACCTGACTGAAAGTCAAATGAGCTTATGAGTACTGCTGTGTATGTCTTGTTAATTTGTGGGGCTAAGCACATGCGATTTGTTTTTTTGGCAATATATTAAATTTTGATCTTTATTTGACCTTTGCAAAACGACCATTCTGTATGCTGAAGCTCTTAGTCATTTTGGTTCAAAATATAATGAAATTTGCAATTTAGTACCGTATTTGACGTAATAAGCGCCCAGGGCGCTCTCGAAATTAGAAATAGGGGGCTCTTATTAAAATATTATTGATATATATGACAGATATATTTTTTCTAGAATTTAATTGCCCACAATTAAGGGTGCATATAACACACGAGTGCGTATTATATAGGAATGAATAAGTCTTGTGTACATTGATCAATGGGAAGGAGTGCTAATTGGGTTTGTTCACAAGCTAATATATTAGCAAAGAGCGCATTGGCGCTTATTAGAGCGGGGCGCTTATTATGTCGATTATGGTTAGTGTTCCATTTCTGGCCATTTTTTTTTATTTTGGTCTGAGTTTATCTTTGTATTTTGATCATGCCCCTAAATTCTCTTAAAATGCACTTCTTTTCACCATAATCATCTATTCATCGACCCCTTGACCAACGAAGCTGAAAATTTATGTTTGTTTCCACCAATGATGACACCTGAATTTATTCCAGAGGTTCGAATCCGATTTTCAATAATAATGGGAAATAATCTACGACCCTTACTCTGCCATTATTGTTCCAGCTGTAATTAAATTTGGTACATGTGTAGTTAGTAGTAGGGCTGAACATATTTTGTTCCGTTTTTGTGGTATTTTAGATTTTGTCCTTAATTTAACACCTGCACTGATTGGCTACAGAACCTACAACCAGCCACCCTAAAAATATCACCCAGAAGGCGACAACACTGGTTTCAATCACTTATATCATGCATCTTCATGTGTATCCGTTGTTTCAGATATCCGAACATACTTCATCCTGGGGCCAAAGAAGAAGGAAGGGACAAGCCCCGAGGCGGAAACTGCTCAGACGTCCAACAGCACCGTCATTCCGATAGAAGATGGCAGCACCCAGGAGGCAGAAAAGGTGGGAGATTGTGACGAAGACACTGACAAGGACATGGGGCTGTACAGTTGTAGAAGTATTAGATATTGAAGGGAGTCCGGGGGTAATTAGCACTGATTGGCAATGTCATTAAAATCAGATCTTAGTTGCCGCTACCGCTAAACAAAGATCTGAGGACATCCCATTACGGGTCACGTCAGACCGACCTTGCGCGAACTTTGACCAACCAATGGAATGATCAATCAGAAGGCAGCTTTCTCGTGCTTTACGGCACTAATTTCAAATTGGCGACTACGCTTCAAAACATACTTTGACAAATTCTCGATTACAAATTTGAAACCTGAACAAAAGAACATTCTGGAATGGCTAATAGATGGTCTAGATTGTATGGATACAGTCGTTAAACCCGTAACTATCTTTCAGAGTTAAAGTTTTCGAGGCTGCATGATCATAAATCACATTCCGACTTTCACTTTCATAATCTGGTAAGGGATGCTCTGATTGGTCGGATGAAAGGTCGTTCTGATGTGATCCGTAATGGGATATCTATGTCCTCAGATCTTTGTTTAGCGGTAGCGAGAACTGAGGTCTGATTTTAATGAGATTGCACTGATAGGTGAAAGAGTGGACATAGCAAAGGGCAAATTGAAGCCAAAACCATAACATCATGTGGGAAGCCACCAAAGTCTTGTCTACCAACAACAACAACTGGCGACAAAGAAAACTACGAGAAGCCATTGACATCAGGAGACACCAGTCAGCCATGAACTGTGACCAGGGAACCTACCTGCCAAGTGCTTGGGACTTATTGCTTTGATCTTTGTCGGTGCTAATTTCCTAGCTGGCTTCAATTTTCCCTTTGTCCATTCTTTCACCTATCACTGCTAATTACCCCCGGCCTCCCATTTGCCCAGTGTCCATTACCTATTACTTATCTATGATAACTTAAGTACTGGCTTCCATACTATCAGTGCTAATTACTGTAAAGTGTTGGCTTCCATGGTCTATTGCTAATCACCTATCGGCGCCAATCATCTGTTGTTGTCCTTACATGTGCATATATATGCTCTCTGCCTCATTGCATTCATTCACCTTTTGAAGGAGGAAGCATATTCTCCCAAACGTTGTGTTCCTCATGTAGCAGGGCGTGGAGTCATCCCACAGATGACATCCTTACCTTGTCAGCTTGCTGACGGGGTTAACCTCTTTGGTCACGTGGACAAGGCGTCCGACCTCGGATCAGAAAGTCCGTGGTTCAAATCCCATCACGGGACTCGGAAATTTTATGGCCGCTACACTCATAATAAAGAAGTGGACATCCATATATTCTCTTCCTTATGTGCATCACTTCTTAATGCCTTTCAAAGACCTGAAAAAATATTGGTTACCCAATAACAAAAGTAATAACCCAATTAAAATAGAAACCTTCGAGTAAAAACTCAATAGCTCTAAAGGTTATCTGGAGCTCTGTTCTGATGCTTACACCAGCAATGAATGCTCCTGTTCCGCTAGATGACTTCAGTTTATGTCTCCTTGTTTACCAGGCCAAGCCAGCAGCCGACCCAGCCTCAGGGGGAGACAACTCTGTTACAGCCACATCCAACCACCCAGACAGGGAGGTACGTTTAAGAAATAAACGATGAGTGGGAGCGTTTCATTGTACGATAAACAACGACTATTAGTCATTTATTTCTTATATGAGATATCAACATTATGTACAGCCTCTTTAAGGATGTTAGTAAAAAGTACATGCTTTAAAAATATTTACCCATATTTAAATAATGATGACTCCCAGAATAGAATGTGATGTCGGACAAGTCCATTTATGCACAGGGGGGTATTTCCTGTATATTCTCACAATTCTCACATTGATAACCTATACCTTTTCTCCCAATACCGATTGTCATATCTCTAATGCTTTGGGTGTGATCATTTGACCATCGTGTTTATCTGCGTTGCCTAGCTACATCTTTAGGGGGACTCACGAGACACTCCCCTCTCAAAAATAACTTCGTCCATTATTAGACGTCATGAATAACTGGAATACTGTTAAAGCAGCGTTAAACCAAACTCACTCACTCACTTGCTAATGTTCTTGCTCTTCCTTCCAGGCACCAGAAATTAACGGAGTGACGCCAGCCGCCTTGCTCGGCCGCAGACACAGTAGCGGCTTCTTTGCCAGCACAACCTCGGTGGACCGTATTCCTGAAGAAGGTTTGTGGCCGTCACTGATCAGGGGCTGTTTCCATTGGTCGATACAGTTTGCGTTGCACTAGAATAACTCAGAATGATGTTGAAGAACTTATTCAATCCAAAGTGGTTTATTATTGAATGCAGGGTGGTAACAATGTTAGAGCGGTAATGAAGAATATTGGAAACATACTGATAGTTTTGCAATGCTGGTTTACTGGAAGATCAGAAACATATTGAGATGCATTGAGAAGGGTCTTCTCATAAAGGAAAAGACAGTTTGGGGTAGACTAACAATTTAAGGTCATTCATTGAATAATAATCTACATACATGTACCACCTTAGAAATAAGCAGAGTGAGATCACCTGAACTGAAGGTTGATTAAAGATTTCCATCATAAGTCATACATTAATCATTTCCATCATAAGTCATACATTAATCAAACTCTTCTGAATCGATTATGAAAAGCAAAACTTTGCATGGAAGATCTCGAGAAGGGAATTTCTCAAAGCTGACAGCAGATACTTTGTGAAATCAAATATGGCCACAATGGCAGCCATGCAAATAAGTTAAAAGATGTCCCTTCAAATATCATTTATGTGGATGTTGTTTCATTAATTTGTTTATTATCGTGTGGGTTGATTTAAATTCCCTTTCTCTCCTTAATCAATTTCAGGAACAATCAAATTCAGGAACTGTATGGTTCCTGTAAAGTATTAATGCTAAATTTCAACATGTCCGTCACAGCGGCCATATTGAAAACTATTACCATTATTCATCCTTTTATGGGTTATCAGAATACAAGAAGCCAAATCGTGTTATAGGCCTGAACACATGACCATTTCAGCCTAATTATATATTTGACTTTCAAAACTGGGCTGTGATATAGTTTTAGTCCACTAGTCCTTTTAATGATAATATATAGCAAAACTCTTAAAAGGGCAAATTTCAATTATCCTTATGATAGCTTAACTATTGGGCAATTTGGCAAGGACTATGGGACTAGTGCCTATTTCTAACGCTGTAAGCATGTATTGTTTTATTCCGTTCAATATATATGTATATATGCCTATATGTATATATGTATATATGTAACTTATGCATGTTTCTATCAAAATGTGTTTTAATAACTCTTGATATATTTGCATGATATTTGTTCACTGTTATATATATGGGGAGAGACATGATCCTTCTGTATGTAGCCATTAATCATGACAAGAATTAAGGCAATCTTTGTCAGTGCAGGTTTGTACACAATATTCCACTATCACCCATAAATACATATGGTAGCTGCTCGGTGTTGCCTGTCTATTGTCAGTAAGCTAATGAAATTGAGGCCATTTATAACCCAGGTCCAGTGTTCCCGTTTACCGGTAATTACCAGTCTTTTACCGTTAAAATTAGGCCTGGACAGGTAGTTCATGTGACTACCAGTCCCTATGGACCTGCAAATAACGTACCTTATAATTATTAAATCAGCGATATTCATATAAGTTTATTTTTCGAACGAAAGGGTTTCCTCTTGTCTATTTATAGTGCAAGGAAATAACATTTTGCTTTGCTTTGAGGTTAATTATTTACTTGTAGTGACTTACTAATACGAAATATTCAAAAACAAAAGAGAAAATTGTGACTGAACGTGTAGATCTAACTAAGTTACTTCAGAGATGACGTCATTGCATTGAACATGATGTTGAAAGAATTATAACCAGGTAATTTTTCATTCATTTATTTATTTATTGAAAGTTGGGACTGACAAAAATTAGGTGGGACTGGTAATTTTTGGAGTTTCAAATGCCAGCGGGACACTGAGGTCCGTGCATAAACGTTGTGTGAACCCTACCATTGCTGCCATTAAGTAATGTGTACAGCAGACAGGAGCAAGGCTATGGGACATGTTGCACACATTGATGAGCAAGAGACAGCAGCGTTTAGTTTAGGCAGTACTGAATGGTCATTGGTCTGAACACCTACAGGCGTCCCTCCTGCAGGAACCAGGTCCCCGTTACACAAAGCGATCTTAGTGCTACGACTGTCGTAAGTCCTTGTCAAGGTATGGGAGTTACGATCATCTTAGTGTAAGATTGCTCTGTGAACTACCGTGGACATGGTGTCTGTATGTCTTCACGGGTGATTGAGGAACATAGTGTATGGAAGCCAATATTGACGATGTCCGGGGGTAGGGAAGCCTTTACTTCCAGGGTAGAGCCTGTGATTATCCTGAAACTCTTGGTTGCAAACTCACATCACAAACTCAATCTCATTAAAATCAGATCTTAGTTCTCGCTATTGCTAAACAAGATCTGAGGACATCCAATTAAGGGTCACGTCAGAACGACCTTTCATCCAACCAATCAGAGCGTCGCTTACCAGGTCATGAAAGTGACTGTCGGATGTGTTTTCTAATCATGCAGCCACGAAATATTTAACACGGGGTATTCCGAACGACAGTTACGGGTTTTATGATTATATCCATACAATCTAGGCCATCTATAAGCCATTCCAGAATGTTCTTCTTCAGTTTTAATTTTCTTAATCGAGAATACGTCAAAATATGTTTCGAAGCATAGTCGCCAGTTTGAAACTAGTGTCGTAAAGCTCGAGATAGCTGCCTTCCGATTGGCTGATGTCGATTTCTTGTCAGTCATTTCATTGGTCGGTAAAAATTCGTGAAAGGTGACCCGTAATGGGATGTCCTCAGATCTTTGTTTAGCGGTAGCAAAAACTAAGATCTGATTTTAATGAGATTGATCACAAACTCTCAATGATTATCCGTAAATGATGCACTTTGTACTGAGAAATTTGGTCTTCAGAACTCGTCAATGTCTTGTAAAATACATGGTTTAATGTTTTGACTCTGTAAAATGTTATTCATATCTTAAGACCAGCTAATTGTGCATATAAATTACCAGTTCTTATTTCAATGTTACCTTTTGTAAATTTTAAAACACCACTATCTTTTCTCAACTCCAGACCAAGATTAATGAATATTTTCACCTGCATTTTTTCCGGAGCAAAACACCACCCTTTACATCTTCATGAGACAGGGTTGTTATAACCCTCATTTAAACAAGTTCTTTGCTTCTCACATCTGTTTCTAGTTTTCGTTCTTGTGTTGGTATCTAACCATAACATTTATCTGTTTTATAACTCTATGTATGTATGATTGTTTTTTATTTTCATTTGCTTTGGTTTTTATTTCTATACAGGTAAATCGTTTAACCAAACCAGTCTCTCTCGCCTGTTTTGCTGTGTAGACTCGCGTTCATCAACATCTGATCATGTGACTAAACCCTGCCGACCTTCCACATCCCATCTAAACAATAACGTTACCTGTGCTTCTAAATCATCTCCTCAGACCTCAGATGGCAAACCAGGCAATCTCGGAACAGTCAAAGGTTGCCATTTTAACAGGCTACATGCACGCATACTAACTAAATAGTTTACCCTCTATTCTTGTTGTAGCGCCCTCTGGATATGCATGTCTACTAGTTGCCTCCCTTTGTTCAGGCACATCCAAGCTCCTTCCCAGCGCGTGACACCTTTGTTACACTCTCGGTAACATCGCTGCCACCAGTGTGGGCGCGGCCATTACAAGAATCTTGAAATTTGCCCTCTAACCCCAAATGTAGTAACGTTTATACTTTTGTTTATGTCTTTGGGAATATTTCATTTTGAAAAGGTTTACGACTGACCATGTTTTCCAGATGAATTTACTTTGTTGTTTGTATAATCAGATTGGTTCGAGATTGCAGACTAATGGAAAATCAACCAACGTCTCCCTTACATTCTTACTACATCAATTACATGATAGTTTTAATGAAATAGAAATTCAAATTGACAAGCAAAGAACAGTAATTTAGCAGCGGTAATTGTATTCGGCGTCACGACAGTCGTCACTTGTTTGTAAACATAACGGTCATTCGGCTGCGAGTTCAACTCCAAGCATGGTTGGGGCCACCTATCACAGTGGGGAGTTTTGACTGGTGGCAGCGATAGTATAGAGAGCTCCATGAACGGGCTGTCGCTGTGAGGAGCCTGAGGCACAGCACTAATGAGTTGTCTCCCTTAACACTCTCTGGAAAGGGGATGGTTGAACTCATAACGTTATATCTATGCAAAGACTAACAATATATTTGTGGTGACAGAATTTGACTGGACCATTATTATTTTCAGGCAAATTTAAAGATTATGGAATATTAGTTGTCAATATGAAATTGAAAAAGACACTTTGCAGTAAGGGAACCAGGACCCACTTGCACAAGCGATCTTAGTGCTAAGATGATCGTAACTTCCATACTTTAACATAGGCTTACAATAGTCTAGGCGCTAAATCTGACAAATCTGCTTTGTGCAAGTGGGCCCTAGTGATATTTTCTTAATATTTATATTTTTTAGATTTTAGATGAAGTTGTCGAAAAGGTAAATTCAGTATGGAAAGGTCATTACATATGAAAGGTCCTGCAGCAGACATGCCTGATAACACTGTATGAAAAAACTTGCAGCACTGTTGTAAAAAAACTTAACTCACTCCAGTGCCTAGTCAAGTTGAAGTATTATCTCCTGCCATTTAAGTATTAATAGATAACTGTTTCTTTGTATGTAATCTATTTTTCTTCTGAATTCTTGCTTATGCTACAGCATATTCCACTAGTAAATATATCTTTTTTGTGATGGAATTTGAATTTAATTTTGTGTATTTAAGATCGCAATGAGTTCACATGGCTATGAAGAGTACCATGTTGAGTGTTTTTTTTATTTCAAAAATCACATTTTTCATAAACCAAAATCCCAAACAATACACAGTTGTGTCATACCATTACCATTAGGAAATTTATTTTCAGAAATTCATCAAACAACATTTTTTTTACTCTATCTAAATAATACCACAAAAACATTTGAATCAGAATCAATGAGTATGACAGTGGTTCTACTCTCGAGTGTAATGCGGATACGTTATATTGACGGTCCTAATGTTTACGGCAGCCTAGTTTTCTGTTTGACTCTGTACGTCATGTTAAGTATACTTTGTACCCTATATTTCAAACTTGTCACATGTAGATTGTGAACGGTCCCACTTTAAACATTTTGCATGCCCTGTTCTTGTGTGGTTTCTGTTATCTATTGTCTCTGTCTGTGTATCTTTTCAGGGGTGCATGAAAATGGTATCGGCCGGGCATTTTCAGCTGACTTTATTATGTGTGAGATAAAGTGTGGCTGACTTTAAACGGGCTAACTGTGGCTAACTGTGGCTAACTGTGGCTAACTGTGGCTAACTGAACACTAGGGGTGTCGCGATATGGAGTATTGTATTGTGGTACACAATTGTGATGTATGTACAGCAATTTTACATGAATTTAAAATACAAATAGAACTGAAGCTGTTTTCAGCCCGCACCGAACGGGTTCCACTACGAAACATGATACAAGGGACTTGATGTGATTGGCTTCATAGAGATTCCAGGTTAAAACAATTTTCTAAGTGCCCCAGGCGCTGTTACGGCAAATATGGTACTATGTATCAAGTCTGTAAAGATTACGGAATCGGTAGGAATACAAACCTTTTTTGGAAGTGTGGAACTTAAACATTGATAAACAGCAGGGTATAAATTAGTTTCCAAAGTTCACTGGCCAGGAAGGATTGTCAACAGTAAATGTTGCAAGTCCTCGTCATATTTTACTAGCCCTACTTTATTAGTGCAGTCTACATATTTGGTGTGTTTGGACATTAGGCGTACACAACTGCGACGCTGCTTGGCTTGTTTGTTTGTTGTTTAACGCAGCACTCGGCAATATTACAGCTATATGACAGTTTTCTGTAAGTTATCGAGTCTGGACCAGACAATCCAGTGATTGACATCATGAGCATTGATCTACGTAATTGGGTTACAATGACATGCATTAACCAAGTCAGCGAGACTGACCACCCGATCCTGTTAGTTGCCTTTTACGGCAAGCATGGGTTGCTGAAGACCTATTCTACCCCGGATCTTCACGGGTCTGAGTGAGTGAGTGAGTTTGGTTTAACACCGCTTTTAACAGTATTCCAGTTATATCACGGCGTGTCAGCTTAATGTGGGAGGAAAGCCCAAAGTGATGCAGGTCTCAGACGTGTACCACTTTGGTGAAACCCACGAGCACAGGTATGGCGCTGACAAACATGGAAACATAATCGGGGTGTACCGGGATTAGTACCCACAATCATAGGTTTCTGGCATGCCCAAGGGATCACGGGTCTGAAGTCATTTGGTACTACAATGTATACATTTGTCTGACCTTAGTGGTGGTTCTTAGACTTTCGCATCACAAAAACTGCATGTACATTTATTTCAGTGTACAGCCAAACCCCTGTTTTCTACTTCGCATAGGTTTCCTATAAGGTGAGGTGAAATTGGGTTTAACGTCGCGTCCAAGATTATTGCACTTATATAGCGACGTGCATGCACGTGTGTGTGTGGCTGCTTGTACTAGTCCGGACTGATGCCGATTTATAGTGCTAGCTCACTGAGATACCATGCCGCAGTTTAACATGAATACCCCACTCAGACACAGTATACTGACTCCGAGCCGACCAGTCCTTGTTTTAGCCCCTTAATGTCGAGCGCCAGGCAGGGTAACAACAAGTACCATCTTTTAACGTCTTTTGGTATGACGCGGCCGGGGATCGAACCCCGGACCTTCCACTCTCCGGGCGGACGCTCTACCACAAGACCACGGAGGCGGCAGGTTTCCTATAAACTACGTAATGAAAACAAAATGATAGACCTTGACATAAAATGATGCTTTAACTGACCTGATTCGTAGAAATAAATATGTATTGACTTGAATTTTCAACTAGACAGTCAGGCCAGATTTCCAGAAATGTTACTGGCCCAATTCAAAGGTCTTTTGGCGAGCGGAGAAACAGCTATTTTGAATATGGACAAATAGTAATACTGATCACATGTCTACAATAATTTGACTCGCTATCGTCACACCCCGAGTGAATATGTCTGCTTATAACTACCACCAAATACCTTGTGTCAGCGTCAACATTCATACACAAACATTCCTCTGAACTGACAACCAGATATCTGCTATCTCTAGTCACCACTGATGCAGGGTAGTCAACATTTGATCGTCGGAGACCTCGACTTCCATCAGTTGCGTCTGAGACAAACTATTTATTAAATAATCTGTCGCCATGGAAATGGTAGTTTAGCGTCCATTTTTGGATGGTTATTTAGATTGATGGGGACATGTTGAACACTTTGGTATGAGATAGACACAAGAAAAGATATATTTCCAATCATTTCCTAAAAACGTCAAACAAGCGATGACTTACAAGAGTGGAGGATTCTTACTTCTAGAGAAAGAACAAATATTCTTAATACCAAATTGTTTTCAATGTTGGCATATATGACAAGAGTTTTAATTTTTTTCCGACAATTCAGAAATGAAAAGATAGTGAAGATGTTTTTCATTATGTTGATGAAGCACATCAATTAGTTCTGTGTGAATGTTGACATCTTTGAAAATAATGGTCACATTTGACCTTCAGCATAAAATGAGCTGCATACTTTAGCAGAATGAATTCGAAATCCAGTGTTTTGGGTTTTTCATATTTCTGAAATAGCTTGCAGGCTGAAAATGACCCCCAAAAAGCATTGGCTATGTATAAAACGTATTGAGTGTTATTTGACAACATAGATATAAGCAGACATATTTTCTGTTGATATTAGAGGCTTGATTTGGAACTGGCGGAAGCATATCTTGATATCATTATATGTATTGGTTTTCTTGATTATTCTTTTTAGTAATGCTTTTGTGTTAATGATTTAACTTTTTATTTACCAAATAATTTAGCAATCTTATTCTTGTAGTCTTGCTTTTTCATAGATTAAGCTAATTTCTAATTTATTAATCTGAGACATAAATCTATTTGAACCCCTCAAAATATTATTGACATAGATAACATAGATGTTAATTTCCATTCTGCAGATGTGGATGACCCTAGCACGACACCCATGAACGAGACCTGGACAAAAATGCGCCGCATCCGTGACCAAAACGATAAGCAGATCATTAAATGCCTGCAACGAGATGTGACGAACAAGGAATTCTTCTACCAGCCACCAATCAACAAGTGTACGATGAGCTTCAACCAGAGCGTGTTGGAGGAAGACTACCGGGACCATTACCTTGAGAGCCAGCTGTTCCGGGACGAGGCCACGGCATCCCCACGCTACCACTCGCTCCTGGAGGTCATCGTGTCTCTCATCGTCTTCACCATCATCTCAATCTGTTGCTTTATCATGTTTGCGCGCCAGTTGCCATGGATCATCGTGTTCTGCATCGCTCTGGTCATCGAGATCCTGGTCCTCGTCCAAGTGATGATCAGCCAGGAGAAGGCCGAAAAGTTTGAGAAAATCATGCAGTTAGTGTCCGGCTGGTACTGCCGAAATGTCCTTGGAGCCCTTGTAGCAAGTCTGCCTGCTGTTGCTGTCTATTCCAACTTATCATGTGACGTGATTCATGACCAGAGGGACAGGGACTATTTCCTATGTTTCTGTGTCATCGTGTCCCTTCTTCACTTCTGTAACTTCACCATGTTGAGTTCGTGGCTGAAGTCTATTGTAGCAGCTATAGCTGGCACCATTCTTCTAATCCTCCTCAACATCGAACTATGTCCGCGTCAAGCTGATTTTAACCTCTCAGCCACATACAACGCAAGCGTCACGCCCTCCAACCTCACCGTGAACATGCCCTTCGCTTTGGGAAACGATACTGATCGTCGCCTCTTCACAGGACAAAGCCACATCCGTTATGAGATTATCTTGGATATGATTCTTCTGCTTCTACTCATCCTGTTCATGAATCGAGAATTTGAGATCAGCTACCGCCTGAGCTTCTACGGCAGTGCTCAGGCAGATCGGGATCAGAAGCAGATGCTTGACAACAAGGATCAAGCCGATTGGCTGCTTCACAATATTATCCCACAGCACATCTCCGACATCGTCAAGAAAACATCCAAATACTCCAAGAACCATAAAGACTGTGGTGTCATCTTTGCCGCCATTGTCAACTTCAATGAGTTTTACGATGAGTCGTATGAAGGAGGAAGGGAATATCTGCGGGTGCTCAACGAGTTGGTCAGTGATTACGAGGTACTTCTCGATCTGCCGCAGTACAAGGATGTAGAGAAGATCAAGACCATCAGTAGCACTTTCATGGCCGCATCGGGACTGAATGAACAGAGTCGGGCACAGAACGAAGATCCCAAAGCACATCTGTACGCTCTGCTGTGCTTTGCCATTGAGCTGCAAAATGTGATAACACGATTTAACGAGTGTATCTTCAATTTTGAATTCATCCTGAACATTGGTTTTAATTATGGGGAGGTTACTGCAGGAGTTATTGGAACAACTAAATTGTTATATGACATTTGGGGCGACACAGTCAATATCGCTAGTAGAATGTATTCTACCGGGATGGCAAACAGAATACAAGTGCCGGAATCGACAGCTAATTACTTAGGGGATATGTTCGAGTTTGAATACCGCGATGAGATCACAGTCAAAGGCAAGGGACAGATGAAGACGTATCTTGTTGTTAAGAAGAAGGATACAGCGGAATGGAAATGAGAAGGTGTCATGCCAACATTATCCCGATAGTTCCTTGGGTATGTAATGGTTGCTTGTGCTGTTGATATTATAAATTATGAAGAAGATCTTAATGATGTTGACACTAACAAATATTAAAATACAAGCAAGACTGTTGCTTTCCCGATAATGTTCACCAACTGATTATATTGGATCTTGCCACTCTATACAGTCATGCTTCAATAGAATAACTATGTGATTAGTGGTATTGATACAAGGGTATCATTCTGTATGAGGTGCTCCACTGACTTCACATTCACACTGACTATGTGAGAGGAGGATGGAGATCGTGAGACCCTCCTCTGCCACCGAATGTCACGATCCATATAGAAGGAGTTTCTTCCAATATCTCCTCTGAAATGTGCTGGTGACAAGCTTAGGGAACCAAAACATTAAAACGACGAAGACAGACGTCATGAGTAGACAATGGAACAATTTAAACATGGACAATGTAGAGAAGTATTGGTGGATGGTGCCATATCGGCATCACTTCTTTGACACTTGGGAAATTGTAGGATTCTTCTGAAATGAATTACACAGGTTCCAACCATGTAAAATGTAGATCTAGAAAAAGAAGCTTGCCCGTGATCCACACATTAACTACAGTGTTTGTGACAGCATTTCTAATCCTCAAGGAACAAGATAAGGTGTCTTTGTCTATCTACTCAAGTATTCTTGCCACACAAGTGGAAGGTGTGTATATTGTTGTGTGTATTCAACAGACTGACACAAGCCTGGAAATGGTCGTCAGTTCAATAACTGTCACCTTCCTTGATATTTTGTCAGGATATGAGCTCAAAGTACATGTCAATTTCGTCATTTAATTTCATGAAACACTTTTTACACAATTACCACCATGTTTCATTTTCTCCATAATACCAGACTGAGGCTGGGCTTGCCAGATTGAGGCTGGGTGATACCAGACTGAGGCTAGACATCAGATTGAGGCTGGATAATATCAGACTGAGACTGGGCATTACTAAATTGAGGCTGGGTGATACCGGTCTGTACAGTCCAGTTTCACTGCTGGACAGAACTGTATTTACTTGGAGGAAGGATCTTATCTAGGAAGTCCTAGTTAAACTGGCAGAATAGATGTTCCTGCATCAGTATCTGTTGGTGAATTACCTGCATAATTACTTCTCTGAATCCAGTTTTACTTGACAATGAATGAATTCTCTTACCTTTGTGTAAAAGAGGAGATATTTCAAGACAGATGCCTGGACTCTGTTGTGATCTTTATACATGTATTGCATTTATCATGCTTACAAAAGTCATGTTTTCATACCTCAACATCTATTTCCATGTTAAACTGACAATGTAGTCGGCAAATACAGTCAAGTCCCGTTAATCCGACATGGTTGGTTGCATATGATTATGTCGGATTAACGAGTATGTAGGATAAACGAAATTAAGTATCAACGTATGGATCGAAAATCGGACTACACGATAGATAACGATACAAACACTAATTGTTCATAAATTGTTTATTGTTCAGCAAGTTTATCTTTACAGCCGTTGTTATATGCAGCTACCAGCCGACTCGTCTCGCATCAAAACCGAGCTGTGTACTCACGGGCAGATGACCATGGAGTACGCTGATCACTGTGTCGGATTAACGAGACTGATTAATGAGTAATTTCAGTAATTCGTTGCAAATTAGGTGTGTCGGAGTGCGAGACTGTCGGATTAACGGGTCTAAATAGCACTGATTTAATCGGTTCCCATCATTAGTGTCGGATAAGGCCGATTGTCGGATTAACGAGTGTTGGATTAACGAGGCTTGACTGTATATATATGAAGTAAACTTCTGTTACATTTGTCATATAAAATATGTATTCAAAAGGTACTTTCCTGAAGTATTTCTTTATGAATAGGGCTAGATTTGATTTTGAGGGGACATATACACAATTTGCTATTACTGGTACTGTCTTTGAGAGGTATTAACCTTGATAATTAAAAAGGTAGATCATTATTTGTATCCGAGGTAAAATAATACATGTATTGTGAAATACTGTTCTGTGACAGACCGACTTCTATCATGTTCTCCTTTGGTGAAGAATTTATGAAAACAATGGCTGTTCTGCAGAATTTATTTACACCTGCTCAGAGGCCGATATTCCAATAAGTCTGAATAAAATATCAGTAGTAGTTCCCAAATTGGAATTAAAAAAATTGACATGTCAGTTATTATAGTATATTAATGTTATGGCTTTGCAGAGGCGACCTGCATTTCACTGAATACAGGACCAAAAGACAAGAAGATGCATTAATGTTTAGTTTTACATTTTTGCATTGAATGAAATATTAAAATAACCCTGAATTTACAAGAATAATGACATTTTAGGAAAATCCTAATTTTGAACAAATAACATTTTTTCCATAATTTCTTTGCTAAAGGTACATAGTTAGTAATCCTAGATAAATCCCTGTTCTTTTAACATGGCTTTCGACTTTTTGTTCCCTATGTCTGTACATGTATTTGGGGAAGTTAACTGAAAATACAGGGTAGAAGTGTATGCAAGATCAGGAAGATGATCAGAAGGGTCATTGTTACATGTATTCTTTCTACCTAAGGGGGCACGGGTGGCCCAGTCGTCTAAGGCGTCGTGATTTGCTGTGCAGAGTTGCGTCCCTTGGGCACGCCAGACACCTTTTAGGTTTGTCAGCACCATACCCGTGCTCGTGGGTTTCACAAAAGTGGTAAATGTCTGAGACCTGCATCACTTCGGGCTTTCCTCCCACATTAAGCTGACACGCCGTGATATAACTGGAATACTGTTAAAAGCGGCGTTAAACATAACTCACTCACTCACTCACTTTCTACCTAAAGGAGACATCGTGTGCAAGAAGTCTATTTTTGACCATTGATTTAATCCCAAATGGTAGCCTTAATATATATACATGATAATTGACTGACATTCTCCTTGCGATTTTTTTTAAACATGTGTTCCTTTTTAAATACATTTTCTTAGTTCTCTTCAGAAATTTTAATCTGGAAAAGTATAACCATGTTTTTTGAAGTTATTCTGTCTTAGAACTCTTATTTCAATGAGTTTTCACTTTTAAAACTTTTTGTTGCTTTATTTTGGATATATTAGAAATATGTTTAGTTCTTGTTTTCAGCATTAGAATTAGATATTTTAGAAAAAAAATCCTTTTTTAAGATTCCTTTTTATTCATATGTAAATATTATGTTGATAAAGAGGACGAGAAGCAAGGTTAGCATGCTCATGTGGAAGATACTCACTTCGAATGGAGATAAATCTGTCGACCTTTCATATCATACCAGCATATCTACTTTACTCTCCCTGTACGAGTTGCCGTGACTGTAACAATTTGATGATTCTCGAGACGTTAGACTAGGTCGCTGCAGCTTATGCATGTTGTATGCAAGCCTTATAAATGGTGGTCAGATTCGGTGACTTTGTTGATTGCAAAACAGAAATATTGCTGTGTACAGCAAACACTCAGATAGATAGTATTGGTTCTTTGTGATACTTGCTGCTTGAATTGGAAGATCATGTCATTTATTGATATTCAAATGGATGTGGGCTTAAAATGACATGCATCACTTGAAAAAAAATCCATATTCAGATTGTACTTTTAGGGAGAGCCAAGTCACCAAGTCTGACCGCCCAATCCAATTTAGTCGCCTCTTTCGACTACTAATGGAGTGCTGGCGTATAAGTGTTTAGCTGTCCCTATTGGCTTTACAGTTTCACGATCTTCCTATCAAGATACATATCGTATTGTAACGTGTATCGTGTTATCAACCTTTGCCTCCTCGTCATGAAGAAAACTCAGTGCAGTTCATGTCAAAACAGGGCAACTTGTAAAGGGAGATAACTCTACGAACCATATCAACTGTCTTGTCTTGTCAAGTTTTGTTACTGGAACATTTTTATCAATTTGAATTTGTAATATTATTCCACTTACCCTTAACCAAAACCTAGCTCTATAGTTTGTTTAGGAATCCAGACGAATCTTAAAACAAAAAGCCATGTTCTTGATCGGAACATTCATGAAAACGTTATTTGCTAATATGACTGTCTGTCGAAGGCAGTCCATCTTTTGGAAGCCATTCTGGAACCAGTCAAACCAAATCCATGTTATCCCCGAATTTTCAACCAATGAAAGTATCATTCACTGTGTATGATCTTGAAGCAGCTTTCAAAATGGCTGCAGCAACCTGCCTGCTTGACCCCATTTTGGGCAGTTTGGAAAATATTTCCTTTGATTTTTTATGCATTGCTGTCTGGAAAGTCACATGAACTGAAGATTGAGTTTGATTTTTGATACACATGTCATGTGGAAGTTATTTTTTTATCATCCTAAGCTAGCTGTCTAAATGATGCCACACTATCATGTTGGTCTGCAGCAGTGGCAGGCAGTTCAAGTAAGGCTTAAAAAAATAAAGGACTTGGTTCTCATGCAGTGGTTTTTGTAAACGTATTAATTTTTGTTTTTGTTGTTTTTTTGGTCTGGTTGTTCAAACTAGTGTGTAACCAAACACACAGTTGTGTAATCAAATAAACAATTGTGTACAAGCAACCTGGGAAAGGGCTTCCCTACATAAATGTATTCCTTGATGAGTAAAATACCGGAATACAATATTTGACTACCGTATGACTTGGAATATTTAAGGATTTTTTTATATTTTTTTATAAATGGAAATTAAATTGAAACGTGCGGAGAACTTTATGATGATGCGGGCAGTGCCTGAGAACCAAGACTATTATATATTTTTAGCCTAACATAACATATGTTTCAAAACCAGGGCTGGTCGATTAACATGTATGTGAAGCTAGTGTCCCCTTCCGTGATATTGCTGGAATATTGCTAAAACTCACTCACCCTCTCACTCACTCGCATATGTATTTGAACATTTAGTTTTTTTATCCAATAAATCAAGCAGGATAAGGGTCAAGGTCATATCTGTCTTTGAATTTGAAGAGGGATCTCCTCAAAACCGGTCTCTCAGAACCATATTTTGTTATGCAACACATCAATGATCCACTTTCAACTAGTCATATTTACTATGATCAACGGCTAATATTTGACAATGGTGTTGTATAATATCGTGACGTGACTTGACCATTGTACACCAAATGAAGTTGTGAAATTTAGCCACTCTGTATTCATTATTGTTTCCGTGAACCTGATTTCTTTTCGCAAAACCAAGAAAGTATTATTTCCATGTTTACCACAGGGCACATTAACCAATTGAAATAGTCTTTTTGTATGATTGTTTAATGTTTTGTGTTGTGTTATATGCACCTTCAACGATGGGATGATTGACAGTAGGACAATTTGCCATGAGGAAGCTTTGTCTCATTGTCCGACGCATACAGTCAGCTGATTGTCAGACACATGTAGTCAATTCATTGTAAGACACTGTTAGTCAACTGATTGTCAGACATTTTTAGTTCTCTCTTTTTTTTGGCAATGAGAATGGGGTTGAAGTTAACTTTTAAAGGGGTAGGTAACCATGGTAACCATAATTACCATAAAAAATGTGAAGGGTTCATTGTTGGAAATTTGTCTATAGATTCAGTTGCAGTCGCAGTTTCATAACGGTATCGGGTGGTCAGGCTCGCTGACTTTGTTGATGCATGTCATCAATCTCAATTGCGTGGATCGATGCTCATGATGTCAAGCACTGGATTGTCTGGTCCAGACTCAATTATTTACAGACCGCCGTCATATAGCTGGAATATTGCTGAGTGCGGCGTTAAACAACAAACAAACAAACAAATCTATTGGAAAAGAAAAATAACTTTTCATAAAAAATTGAAAGTCTTGAAATGGCATGCTGTCAGGTGTTTTTTAAATACTTGCCCTTTGCATTTAAGAAACCATCCCTAACACTGATCATCAAGTACTGCTGAAAATCCCATCACGATTGTTGGATCCCATTCCGGAAATAGGGATGAAGCAACCATGCAATCCCTAGATAGTTTTCACACAAGGCAAACTATTTCATTGTCATTCCTTTAACATATTCAATTTCAAGAATGCCTCTTACCTAGCAATATATCTTTTAGCCCAAAGAATATTTTGTCGGCCAGATTAATATTTTGATAATAAAAATACCAGGTCCCCCCCAAATTGGAATGGTAGGTCCCATCAGGCCTGTGTTGGCATTGCAACTAGGGAACATGGGTGTGTGTTATACGTGTAGTTGTTAACCCTCTAAGAAACAGTTATCGTATCCCTTGATTTCAGAGTTGGGAGTTCGCTCGTCACGCCGAAGACCCGGGTTCGATTCCCGACATGGGTAAAATGTGTGAAGCCCATTTCTGGTGTCCCCCGCCGTGATATTGCTGGAATATTGCTAAAAGCGGCGTAAAACCATACTCACTCACTCACTCACTCAGAGTTGGGATGCCTGTATGTATGGAAAGAGCATTTTCATGAAGTGTCTGGTCTATATTTGATGACAAGAATATGATCGTTTGTGTTGAATAGTTCTTGGATTTGTTGATCTATTGTAAATATATCCTGAATTTCACCGTGCTCAGTCAACCATCGTGTGTGTGTGTAATATTTCATACATATACATACATATATATATATATTTACTGTATTTTTGACATTTCTTATTTATTCATCATATCATGAAGGTGTATGCTTTTGAAAATAAATATTGTGGTATCTTTTCTAATAAGCGTGTTTATGTAGTAGCAAAGATTTCTGTTGTCAGTAGAGATCGACTTCAGGGATAGGCAATTCGAGGTGATGGGAGACAACAAGGGAGGTAACCAGGAAAAACTCAATATTTTATGAAATCATGTTTTTGTATATTTTAGAAAAGAATTTTGTCAATTTAACAGTATTGAAAATAGGAATAACGAATGTAGGAGGTTTTTATGTTTTTATCAGTCTCACATGTTGGTGATCCATATTTACAGATATCAAATTGAATATTGATAACAGTATCTTGGTTTGTGATTAAACACAGTTTAACCTAGTGTCTTAGAGATACAGTTGTTTTGTTTGATCTGTGTTTAAGAATGTGTATACAACGTAAAAAAAGAGCCATTATTTTGTATTCTCTTGGTTTCTGAATTTAAAGTTTGGTAGGTCAAAATTTCATTTTTAAAAAGGATTTTGTTCCATCAATAATTATATTCACCAAAATTTAAAAGTCAGACATGAGAATTTTCCTCAGATTCTCGGAATTCCGGGATTTTTCCTGTCAGAATGATGTAAAATGCACTTATTTTAATCCGTTTTTTAAATCTCCCCCTAGATTGATGATGTTTCTCGAAAAACAAATTTTGCTATTCTCATGTCTGAAAAGTATTCATAGTTTGAACAACCTACAAACCAAGAAATATAAAACATTGGCGTCGAACTATTAACCTTTATAATTCCATGTGTTGATATCGCTATAATTGACAGTCGCCAGGTTGTGCTTGACATACTTCAATTTGTTTATGAAATATATTCATTATAATATCCTTTCCCACTAACCATACACAGCTGATGTTTGGTGCTGTTCACAGTTTAATGTCAAGAGTGAAGTTTTCTACACTTTAAATTAGGGCTGATCCTGTCATTCATCAAACGGAAGACCTGGCCTCGATTCTCCACCAGGGTACGATGAGTGAAGTTCTTTGTTTGTGTCCTCATCACCTGCTGTATATTGCTATCAGCAGCATAAGATGATGCTCGCTCTCATTACTGATGCAGACTTAAAGGTCTTCGGTATTTTTCTCTGATCTGTGTGATCTTTCTGGATTTGAAATTTTTTAAAAAGTTTTCATAAATACCAAATATTGTTACTAATAATGTGTTTTGTGTTTTTAGAAATAGATGTTTAGGATATACTTTGAAGTGAAATAAACATTAATTTTTTCCCACAGTGACAGGTCACTCTTGAAACGTCTACTCCATATGTCATTGCTCAACACATGGGCAAAGTCTAAGATGGATGAATTGGTTAAAATATTAATAAAATCATTTATATTTAAATAGAATTTATATTAATACTTACTGTAAGGATAATTGATATGATTTAATTCAAATTGACACGATGTAGGTTTGATCTTGATGCCAATTTTGTTTTCAAAAACATTTTGAAACCTCTTTTCATTTTGTTTACACATGTAACGTAAAACATCCATTGTAGTATCATGATGGCAGTAAAATAACTGAATTGTTTCAGTTTATGAGATATCTGAAAGTTTGATCATGAAAACTGATGATCAACAAAGAATTTTAGCAACGTGTAGAATTTGGATTAAAAACCAACAGGTATCAAATAGCAATGACAGGGGCTAACGATGTTCAACTGAGTTCATCCAAATCATCCATTCATTATTTGTACTAAGCCAGCAAATGTTATCCCACTGATAATATCTCCGCTATAATTCACAGGCTTTCCATACATGCTGGTTTCAAGCGTCGTATAACACTTTGTATGCTCAAACAAGTTGTCTGTTTATTACTAATTCCTTTAACATTTATAAATTTCTTACCTTTTTAAATCTTGTTGATCTACTGGGATGTTTGCTGATATTTCGCAAAGCTAACATTCTGAAAGTCATGTCAGATTATTCATGTGGTAGCAGTTAAGACGATCGCCTTACAACCAAAAGTTGCAGATACGTTCTTTTTTAATGGTACAAATATAGCACTATCCTTGTGTATAATAATAAAATTCTTAGGATGATGAATGATTTTAATTCAATATAAACTTTTATTGGTAAATTCACATCCCAAACGAAATACTGAAATGTGTTTTCCAACTGTGGAATCATTTTTGGCAAGGGAGGTAATTTGGTAGGTAATTAGAGTAACCTGCTCTTACTTCCTAATCTGAAACAGGCGGTTGTGATCTGTTTCATTTGTAGCCTTGTGTTCATTTCATATGTTTAACCTTAATTGAAATCTATTTACAGCATTCTCCTAAAGAGGCTATTTGTCCTTTTGGTTGTAAAGGCTATTCCTAGTCGACACTGTAGTCCTGTTGACTGTTCATCTGTATTGGTTGTAGAAAGTGCTAGTGTTTATGTTTGTAGAATTGTCTGGTGATGTTTGTATTTTTGATGGCTACTTGAAGTAGAGTTTTTATTTATTCAGAAATGAAATAAAGGAAGTTTAAAGTCATCTTGTTTACTTTCTTTGAAGACACTTTGTAACACTCAAATGCATGTTAGTGAATATCTGTCGTTTCAGCCACAATTAGTGATAGCATTGTGAAGGAGTTTGAACGGAAAGAATGGACTGACCCTGATGTGAATGCTGTTATAGTGTATAAACATGAATACTGCAATTGGAAGTATTTCAGCTGTATCACAAGGCATGCCAGTAAGAAGAGGGCGGGCCAAGTAGTGGTTTTAGTGATGCAGGCCTTGGGATGTTTATCACTTGATGGCAAACCTAGGAAAGAATTGGGGAATCTGGGATTCCATCATAGGTTTCTGGTATGCCAAAGGGACACAACTCTGCACAGCAAATTGAGGAACCTTGAATGATTGGGACACCAGTGCTCCCTGGGAATGGGTACCCAGATGGATCACATCAATATTCTAAAGACATTGTAACCACATGGAAGTGGGGAACTTCCCAAGAAATATTATCAGGGCGCATCTTAAGAATCATAACTTTGTGGCACGCCCAAGAAATACATACGACTGCACCATCAATGCCCCCAACATAGTGTAGCCACTCAATCCTCCCTCTTGTCACATGAGGAACAGGGAGATATGGGATATATTCTTCCCTGACACAAGGGACAGTACTCAGTCTAAATTCTACTGATTTCACACCATATCAGAATGCCATTTTGAATTTTTCAGAATTAAAAACTCAACTTGAACTCAACTTGACAACATCCTCTAAACACAGTTTGCAGCCAATGTAAATGTTTGAAAATGTAACAAGCTCATTGCTAACCGAGATAGGTTTTGCATCACTCTTGGTCCATCATCTAACTTTTACGATATATCTCTAAAAATTGCTCATAGAATTATGTTCCAACTTTAAACATGGCTACATGGATGTGCTCAACGCCGTAAGATGTCTTGTTTCATGCAGATCATAGTTAGAACAGGAACACCATAAAACCTGAACTGAAGTGTTCTTTCAGTCAATATACAGCATGTATGAATGTGGTGTTCACCGAGATTTAATCTATTTTGTTCAATATATGGTTTGATGATCATCTGTTTCTAAATTCGGTGTTTATGCATGTGTGGTCACACAAATCAAAATTTCATTAAAATTGTGACAATTCTCTAAGTGATTTTTTTCATGGCTTCTTCAGCAACAATGTTGAAAAGTAAGAATAGTTAATGCATCAATGTGTAACTATAATGACAGTGGATGTATAAAAACAGGGCATATTTATATTTTGGACTCTTAGGGTATATTTTTTCTAAATAATTTCAAATATTTTGACCCATGTTTCCACCAGATTTAGGAGAGCTACAGTCATGTGGCTCTACAATTGTCAATTCAAGCAACTGATCAACTTCCCCAATAGCAGTGAGTGAGCAAAACTTGTGATGCCTTGCTGGCAAAACTGATGCAGCAAACAAAGGACTCAATTTTGGTTACAGCTGAGAAAAGAAATAATCTGAAAACATGCTTCTCAGGTCGACTCAATCGTACATGTTCTCCATATTTGTGAAAACAAAGCATCGCCTGATAACCTCAAGTTTTACTTTCTCTGTCTCCTACAATGGGGTTAATTTTCAGTGCTCAAAGTGATGACATATGACAACAATTGACAAATACCAGTACAAAATAACATTCTTATACTGGGGATTGAAATCGGTAATAATTGTATGAATGACTGTTGCCAAGGGACCTCAGTTTTGTCACTTGTTTTCAAATGGCTTCAAAAATGTTTCAACGACACCATGACAAATGATTTTATAGAGATCTATAACAAAAGGACCACAAAATCTCAAAATCATTTCATTCAATTTCCTTGTAGGAAAATTTTTATTTATTTACAATATGTCACTCATGAATTTTCAAATGAAAATTGGAAAGATTGTAGTAAAGACTGGAGATACTGGCAATCCAGCATCTCCAAGACACAGTAGCTACATACACACAGTAGAGTTTGTACAGACACTTAGGTACCCTAATCTCCGGCCTCCTCATCTCCCACACACCAGCCAGCTACCCTCAGCAGGGGTGGGGGCAGAGAAGGGAGAGGGAAGGAACAGCAGATGCACTTTTCCTAATGGCAGGAAGAGAGCATGTTTTTCACTGGTTGTGGTACAAGGACAAGTTAAGTAGTTGATATTTCATGCTGGAAACTGTACATAGTCCAACTGGACATAAAATACCAATTTCGAAGAATACGTTAACGGTCATCACGTGGTCATTCAATCACATACAACATTCACTGGACACACTGGCAGTTTGCCTCTCGTGTCACATCACTCTCTCTTCCAGCCAGTTAAAAAACATACATCTAAACAAACTAGCAAGCTATAAAACTAACTACAGCATAGAGAGCTGAGCCATAATGAAATCAAGACACAGGACAGAGTGGTTCTTATGAAACTAACTATACAAATAAAGTTTCATACATATTCATGGTACACAAGTAGAAATGTTTCAAGTCCATGGGCAATGAAAGTCCAATGAGATTAACTTATGACTAACTAGGCTGATTTTATCTGCAGGTGATATAAATTCTCTTTATATAATAAAACATACATCTTCTTTATGAAAACATGACACATTTGTTCTGCAAAAATGAAAAACATGACAAAATACAATGATGACCAATCTCTATAAAGTTATAATTATGATACATAAATTATCTGTTGCATGGGTTTTATGTTTGGGTTTCAGTCTTTTCTGTCTCTGTACACAACACATTTAACTGCCGGTCATCCGGCCAGCCCACTACTACAATGTCTCCACGTAGCGTGAAAGCTGGTCTTGTGGTGGAAGCGGAGACACATCCGATTCCGCTTGGCTCAGTCCCAAGTCTGAAGGATTAGCAGGGCTTTGTAACTGGGATATTGTAGCATGAGTTGATGACAGCTGAGGAAGCATGACTTGGTCAGAGTTCATTTGATTAGGATCGGATGGTACAGGTGGGCCACCTACCCCTGGGTGAGGGGAGTGAATGGGAGGTATGTGATGAGGTGATTGTTGTGGCTGGCACGGGGAGGGGATGGGCTGTTGACGGGGTGAGGGGGTAGGTTGTGGAGATCGGACACTTTGTGGAAGCTGTGCAGCGGAAGCCGGGGGTGATCGCACCTGTTGCATAAGGTGCTGTGGCGAAGGGTTTGTCTGCGCCAGAAGCTGATTTGGACTCATTGGCTGTCCACTACTTGCAGCCTGCATGTGCTGCTTCATCTGTTGTACCTGCATCATCTGTTGTTGCTGTTGGAACTGGTGCTGCAACGAATTATCATTCTGGTATGCCTGTTGGGGCGGGAAGTTCATTCGCTGCCTTTGTGGGAAGGATTGCATTGGTTGTTGGAACTGGTTCATCTGTTGATGGTGTTGCTGTTGCTGTTGTTGTTGCTGCTGCTGCTGCTGCTGTTGTTGTTGTTGTTGTTGCTGCTGCTGCTGGTGCTGATGACGCATCTGCTGCAGCATGCGGAACTGTTGCGGGGTGATCGGTGATGGCTGTGGCTGTTGCTGAGGTGGCATGGTTTGCATATTGGACATGTTTTGCATCTGCTGCTGCTGAATTTGCTGCTGCTGCTGTTGCTGTTGTTGTTGGTGTTGCTGCTGCTGCTGTTGCATGCGTTGTTCCTTTAACTTCAGCACAGATGCCATTAACACTGGGTTCTGTTTAAGCATAGCTAGCACTTTCTGTTCTGTGTGTGGAGTTGTCTGATTTTTGAGAGCATGCAGCAACTGATGAACAGCAGCTGAAGTGATGGTGCTGGATTGTTGTGGTCTCTGCTGTTGAGGTGCTGCCATGCCAGGATTCATCACAGGAGATGGCTGTGGTTGATGGGGCATAGGCATTCTCATATTCGGCATAGGCATGTGTTGCTGTGGTGGGGGTTGCTGCGGCTGCTGCTGAGGCTGCGGCTGAGGGGCCTGTTGATACTGCTGGGGCCACTGCTGGGTTGGGCGTTGTTGGACCATCTGTGGATTTGGTTGAGTTGGTTGCTGCATAGGTGGCTTGGGCTGCATCTTCGGAGGCTGCATGGCTTGTTGCATGGCTGCAGGCTTTCCACTCAAAATGGCTGTACGTTGTAATTCGGCAGCCTTCTGAGCTTTGAGTGCAGCTTGCAAGGCCCCTTGTGGCGGGGCAGCTGGAGGTTTTCCACCATTACCAAATGCTGACTGTTGAGGTGAGGCTGCTGGTGGAATAGGAGCTGGTAAGGCTGGCACTGTTCCTCCACCTGTACTGACAGTTGCAGTACCTGCTCCTGAAGCAGTAGAAGCACTCACACTATTGGCGTTGCTTGTAGTAGCAGTCATTATGGCCATTCTACGCCGCAGCATCTGCGCTTGTTGAAGTCTCTGTTGCAGCTGCTGCTGGCGGAGTTTATGCTTAAGCTGCTGACAGAAGGGCACCTGACACTTATTCTCATCACAATGTTTGGCATGGTAACAACACAATGCAATCAACTGTTTGCAGATGGGACAACCACCATTTGTCTTTCTCCTGCAGCTCTTAGTGTGAGCGACAACACGCTTCATCTTATTGCAACTATGCAGTCTACAGTTAGCGTCCCTGCACTGACAAGCGTGCACCAATGAGTGAATACACCTTTGTATAGATTGACGGCGAGATTCCTGAGGATTGTCCTGTTTGTCACCAGAATATGAGCCATCATCAAGATCCAGACCCAATTTATCCATTTTATGGTGGTGGCCATCCTTCTTGTAGCAGTTTATACAGAGATCATAGTCCTGGAAAAGAGTTAGACAGTATTTTAGAACATAAATTGTAGCTTATATGCTGTATGTATTTTGACAGAGATAAGAGATCTGTACTAAAGATCAAGATACCTTGAGCACTATATCTTAAGTGATTTGAACCACCACCTTCAAGCCATTAATTTTGGCGGTTCCTGTATGGATGGTTTGTTGAAATGAAAGGGGAAGTTTGCCTTGCACTTCATCACTAAATAGCTACTGGTTACAAAAAGAGAAAGTTAGCCAAAAGATAACGGCTTATTGCTATGTGCACAGTATGAAAATAATGATCAGTAGTAACATTAGTCTAACTAAATGTGAGTAAACAAAACAGGTGCTTGAACAGTATTTTAGTCAATATCAAGATTTGACAGCTTAATGTACAAGAAAGTTGTGTGAAATGCATCCTACTACATCACAGCTCTGGTGAAACCCATGTGCACAGCTGTCAACACATACAAGAGAAATTAAGTACATGTGAGGAAATCATTACCCCAAAATGTTATTTGTGTCTATTGTGCCTTATACAAACTAATTATAAATTGTTTGATTGGTCGCTGTTCGATGCCACACTCAATATTCCAGCTATAATATGGCAGTCTGTAAATAATCAAGTCTGGACCAAACGATCCAGTGATTGACACCATGATCATCTATACATGCAATTGGGATGCAATGTCTTTTTAAATTAACAAACATGGGATTATTTACCCACATTAAAGAACACATTCTATACTTACATCACAAACTTGGCAGTGATATCTTGTTTCCACATGCGTCTTACAGTTGTTGCAAGTGTACACAAAACTGTCTCTTCCCTGATTATGCAATTCATAAAGCAATGCCATCGTGGACAGCTTTGCTCGTCTCAATGAGGAGAACTCATAATGTTTTTCTCTTGCCATTGTCAAAAAGGAATCTCGCCCGTCCATTAATTCACAACTGATGTTTGGGTCATGATCCACAATGGGTGGAAGTTCATGGTTTGCTTGTGGTCTTAACCGAATCACAAAGAACACCTGAAAAAAAGAAAACATGTGTCTTCAGTAATCAATGACAAAAGAAAAAGCTATCAAAGTCACGGTGAGTAAGAGAGTGTGGTGTTTCACCCCTTTTAGCAATATTCCAGCAATATCAAGGTGGAGAACACTAGAAACGGTCTTTACGCATTGTACCCATGTCAGGAATCAACCCGGGTCTTTGCTGTGATGAGCGAACGCATTAAACACTTGGCTACCCTACACAGAAAGTCACAGAAAGAATGCCATAAAGATTATATTCCAAATGTTAACAATGAGAACCTGAAGGAACACTGTTTAACTACAACCGATCTAAACAGGTCGGTTGTTTAGATTGCAAACAGCAATATACATCAGCCAAATGAGTGAGTAAATGGACATTTACACAATCGTGATCCATATTACATACATAACATTTCAGACATTTTACAGATTGATCAGGTCAGGGCCAAACAAAAAGCATGGATCCACACCAGCATTGTTTGACTTGTCATTGGAGATTAGGTTTTCACACCGATGTAAATTATTTTATTGTACCAAAAGTCTAAGGTTCTGATTCTCGACTCACCTCTTTATGCTTTTCCATGGTAGCATACAGCTTGGCAGTGAGATCATTTCCACCATGGGGAAGATTAGTCTTCTTGTTGTTTTTCCTGTTGCTACTTTTACTTTTGTTGGCTTTCTTATTTCGACCTTTCTTCTCTCCCTTCTTTTTGTCAGCATCGTTCTACAACACAATCAGTATGTCACAGGATCTGCAATCATTGGATTACTAAACCATAAGTTGGCACTTATCAAACAGACATAACATGGCCATGACTCTGTACAATAACCTTAAACACATCACCAGCAACCAAAGACTGAAAACATGCATCACTTTGGGGCATTTAGTTTTTTTAACAAGCTACAAATATGTAAACAAGGTAAAAAGCCTTCATAAAAAAGGTGTCATCAGAACCAAGCAGGCTGTCTGTACGACACAAGAAGTGATTCATAGCTTACTGGAAACTAGAAACAAACCGCAATATGCACCATAATCCATATTTGATACCCTTGTCCTAATTTTGAATGCATCACAAGCCGTATTCCACAACAACACTGTAAACATCCATACAGTTGACAGTTGTTTACTGACAGAGGTTGGTGTTGTCAATCCAAATATGGCACACTTTATGGGACCATTTCATAGAAACATTTTTATAAGCAGAACGTGTGGAATTACAAGGATATACAGTCATGTCAATACTTACCAACATCATTATTAATCGATATAACATGCAAAGCAAGATAATAATGTCAACCATACATTTTTCCAGTGGACAGGTCAACTAGTCGTTTCAGCCTTACAAGGATTTCTTGTCACTAATGCTCAAATTTCGAACACTGTATTTGGAAAGTGTTGTGGATGAACCCTGTAAATGAATTCTACGTACCACATCTCCTACTTCATCTACGACTTCCTGGCTCTCAGCCTCGGCAGCAGCTGCCTCCGCCTCCTCACGCTTCCTCTTCTCCTCCTCCTCCTGGTCCAGCTCCTTGATGCTTTCCTCCAGCACATTGGGCCAGAAGTCCCCCTCAAAGTATGGCAACTCCTTGGAACTTGTCAAATTGTTCTCAATTGCATCCTTCAAGATATCCTGCAACAAAATCATCAGCATAAAACAAAGGTTTCAAATCAAAGATCTCTTCAGTAACCATACAACGAACAATAATTCTTGATCTTCACCATCCTATTATTCCTTGAATATGACAAATTCTTAAATATGACTCAAAATCTTTTCAATGTAGGCTATGATAAAAAACATGGGTAGCAATCAAAGCAATTGCTTTTATCTAAAGAGATAAACCTGGCACATATTCCTCACACCAACAAAAACTTTGATTTATAAAAAGAAATCATCTGAAATACAAGTGAAAAGGATAAGAAGGAAAAGAATGTGTATTATCACCTTGTAATCTGTGACACATCGCTCAATGATAGCTTTGTCTAGCATCTTCTTGTACCACTCCTGCAATCTCTTTGGTTTGGGTATTTTCTGTTCCGGAGGGTGACAATGGAAGATGTAGTCATCACCTTCACTTGGAGGACAAGCCCAGATGTGTGCCATGGTGTAGCCAAGCTGCTTAGCATATTCCAAATAGCCAATCAGAATCTCATGGTACACAGCAGTTCGCAAGGCCCGGGGGCGAAAGAAGTGAACACTGTCCAAGTATGATATGTATACCCTCCTGAAACACACACATAAATAATACCTTTACTTGAAGTTCACTTTCACAAGCATCCACTGCAAAAGAAGAAGCTTTCATGCTACTGATTGCTAGTATCGTTTCAATTTAGCAATATTTCAGTTTCAAAACAAGAAAGTGATCATGAAATCTGTGAACAATTTTATTCCTATGAATATTAAAACAAGACAAAAAGTGAGCAGTGCTCACAAACATCCCCAACTTTGACTCCAACATATTTCTTAGTTCAAACATGAAAAGAAGAAATCTTTCTCAGAAAATCCGCTTATCGAAATTAAACTTACACTGCACCTCTCCTATAGGTATAGAAACCGCCCATTTAGGTCAGGGCATAATAAAATTTAGTACAAGTATAAAAACATAAGTCTTAATGTATGGTCTCAAGGTCTCTTGTTGCAATGTTTCCTAGTAGATATGGTTGTGTTCTGGGTACAGTAAAATACACACCATCTTTTTTCCACCTTAGTTTTCTGTTACATGTAGGATATTTATTTTTACATTAATGATTTATTATTAAGACATCCTCAATTGCTCTAATATAACAATGATCAATTATGTTATGGTAAACATTTACCAACACTAATACCTCCTTAGACCAAGTCCAAGGGAAATAATCCTATTTCTAAATTTTTGTGTCCCTTTGCTCGTTTATTTTGAGGGGTTATGATTTTAGTCCTGTTTCCTTTGATCTGAAAAAGATCTCAACAGCGGTCGTGAACAAACTGCGCCACTAACCTTGTGTTGGGCATTGGACAGTCTGATCCATACTCTTGCACATGCATGCCAAAGAAGCACACATCTGTCCCATCTATTTCCTCAAAAGCAAACATTGCTTTAGATCGATAGTGAAAGCCATCTGGTACTTCACCACCAAATCTGTGAAAAGATAATGCAACCACTTTGTAAGAATTTACCCAACAAAGGAACAACACCAAGTCAATTGGGTAATACTTTTTTAATATATTTCAATGATAACAGATATAACAATTCTGGCAATTGTATGCAATGTGTTAAATTAATTCTTGATCCAACAAAGCACCAATTTATTAACTTTTATATATTGTTTTGAGATAGATATTTAAGTGTAGCTTACCTTTTCTTCATTCCATGCTTGATTTCCGTCAGCTTGTCTGAACTTGATAGCACTCTAATAGATACCTCTCCAGCACCACAATCTTTCTTCCTCAAGAAATTATTTACACGATTCTCTAAATAGGTTCCTAACTTTGTACTTGGAAGTCCTGCAATTGTGAATAACAATAAGTTACATCAGGCATTAAAACAAACATGTGCATAAATTAAAGGCGATTACAAATTGACTCTAAAGACCTCCTTTTAACATATGGACTATTAAGTGACACTTATTGTCACTTAATGTAGCTGGAATACTGTCAAAAGTGGAGTTTAACAACAAAACAACAACTAGAAGTAATGAAATTCTTTATAACTTTGACTGTGCCACTATTTGCAGAATGTAACACAATGCCTGATGCAATTTTGTAAGCTTGTATATTGGGTGTAACAGGTTTTCCTTTAGAGCAATTATCCACAATGATTTAAGAAGTGTGTACCAATGGAAAAATAAACGTAATCATGTTATATTGTCAGCTCATGATTATACATGGAATAACTGCTTTGCAGACAAAACACATTCATCACAGACAAAACACATTCATCACAGACAAAAAACTGTAAGCCTTGAGAATATCAGTGCAGTCGTCAACTTAATACCTAGACATTCTAGTATGTCTTTCGGTAAAAGCTTAGCCATAATAACAATCCAAACATCATAACTAAAATACTCTTAAAAAAAAGAAGAAACTCAAATATCCTGTAGTCAAAAGCCACAAACTGTGAGAGAACAGTGAGTGAGTGAGTATGGTTTTACGCTGCTTTTAGCAATATTCCAGCAATTTCAAGGCGGGGGACACCAGAAATGGGCTTCACACATTGTGCCCATGTCGGGAATCGAACCCAGGTCTTCGGCGTGACGAGCAAACGCTTTAACCACTAGGCTACCCAACCGCCCCCTGTGAGAGAACAATTGTAGTCTGGAATGAACTGCATGGGCTTTCTGTTAGGTAATCCTTGACACATTTGATTGTTAAAAGTCTGGCTTGCTTGTAACAGTAATAGCAGACATTATTTGTAGAACACAGATCCACATTTGGGTCTTACCATGTTGACCTCGTGTAAAGAGAAATATCACAACTCTTGCAAAACTATGAATAAACACACCAGTAAATCAAGTCCATAAAATGAATGTGTACATTGATAACAATAATTCGAATACCAACTCACGTTTTGCACAATACTTGTTCTCTTTCCTCTTCACGCCTTTGGCCTTCAAACAATTATCACAGGTATACCTGAAAATGGCAAAAACATAGATGGTGAACAAATACTTGGTATCAATACTTAACAACTGAATTAATACAAAAACATTTGATGCAAGCAGATTTCACAAGTAGGTGCCACCCAAAGTTTTTTTCAAAATGAAGATATGAAGAAATAATGTCTGGCGATTGCATATGAATTAACATTGTCGCTGATCAATAATTGTGTGGAAAAAATTCAAAATGCACAAACTATATTCAACAAACCAAGATTTGTATTTTCTGCACATTAGATGTTTTACAAAGCTATAAGAGATTTTAACAATTTCAGAAGAAACCTATAACTTAATATGATCTTGTATGATGCTTAAAATATCACACATTCAATTGTTGACATGAAAATATGATTTCAGACAAAATAATAATAAAAATATTTGTACCATCAAACTTCAGTAACGAACATATTGTGTACTGTTTACCCCCACAACAATCATCATACACATTCATCAATTCAATCTTTTCTAATATTTGCAGGAAAAGCTTGTTTCTTTTGCTCATAAAATCCTTCATATAATGAGTGAGTGAGGGAGTGAGTTGGGTTTAACGCCGCTTTTAACAATATTCCAGTTATATCACGGCGTGTCAGCTTAATGTGGGAGGAAAGCCCGAAGTGATGCAGGTCTCAGACGTTTACCACTTCGGTGAAACCCAGGAGCACGGGTATGGTGCTGACAAACCTAGAAACATAATCGGTGCGAACCGGGATTCGAACCCACAATCATAGGTTTCTGGCGTGCCCAAGGGACGCAACTCTGCACAACGAATTGCGGCGCCTTAGACGACTGGGCCACCCGTGCCCCCCCTTCATATAATGAAAACATATTCATGTAACATTTGGATACCTACCCTTGCGGCCAAATTTGCTCAAACCACAGACAACAAATTTGATGAAGTTTTCTTCCACAGTCTAAGCATTCTATGAATCTGAAAAGAAATAAACACATAAAAACATTATTCATGTTGTAAAACAACCTATTAACTTCAAAACACATTTTGTATTAAAACCATGACTATGTATTTATCTCTTTTTTTTCTTCAGGAAGCTAAGGTTGGCGACTTGAACAGCTCAACTTATGGAACGAGGTGACTGAGGGTGAAACAATACATCGTGCATCAAGAGTTTTCCATGATATGTTACTTTTTAGTATCGATACAAGATGATACACTTGCTGAAGTAAAAAAGGATAAAATGAAAAAAAGTCTTGTTCTTAGGCATCGCCCGCATCGTCAGAAAGTCCACCTCGTTTTGCTTTTATTTTCATTTTCAAAAAAAACTTTAAAAATCCTAATACGATCCAATATAGCATAGTTACTTCCCTTTACATGCACACTGCTTTACTGCACATCTCGTGTTATGGTCATGGGGGTAATAGGAGTTTGTATGCTTGTGAATATAGGGAGGCCCATTCCCAATCCCCGATTGATGGTACACAATTGTTTATTTGTTAACATACTACTTTCAACAAGTGGGGTAAAAACAAAAAAAACCCTCCGCACTATATTTTCAAAGTCATTGCCTGAGAACCAATTCTTTTACCTTTTTTAAGCCTACCTTACAACTCATTTAATGATACCCCAGCATTATTGTCAGTCAAATATCGCAAGATGTATTGTAATTAGCATTTCAAGTTCACTACACTGCAAATTGTGTTTCCAATTGCCTTTCTTTTTGGCAAATTTTCGAAAATATTTATTGTCATGAAGTCTCTAATGCGATTTGTCATAAATATGTGTATCATGACCTATGAATTGTGATCTTGCTATATAGTTTCACCCCTAAAGGGTGACAAAAAGAGTTTTCCTGAACAGAATCTCAAACAGAGATCTCAGATATGACAACTGCATTTGGCAATTTACGGACAACTGCATTTGGCAATTTACGGACAACTTTAGCTTATTTGCACATTACAGGAGAGTGAACACAGAAAATGTGGTACATCTTGTTTAAATACATGCATAAGACAATCACATTTTTCTAGCTGGTTTACTAGTCCACTGATGATCTAAAATCAAAAAGACTTTTCTAATTTTTTATTAATACTGTCAACTATAATGGTATAACAATAGAAATAATAATATAAGTTGACATGAAATATCACTCAAATAAGTTTGTGTTGAAGAGGTCTTTTTTGCAAAAAAAAGCAAAGTGTTTACAGCAAAGTTTGAGTGATGAAGACCAATAACAGCTACGACCCTTCAACATGACATGTTCAGTTGTGTAATCGATAAGGTGGAAAAATTGCAACATTCACATGCCTTGTGAGTGCAAATTTTGTTAATCAACCCCCAAAATATATATTAATCGCCTAACAGACCCGTGAAGATCTGGGGTAGAATAGGTCTTCAGCAACCCATTCTTGCCGTAAAAGGCGACTATGCTTGTCGTAAAAGGCGACCAACGGGATCGAGTGGTCAGACTTGCTGACTTGGTTGATGCATGTCATCGATCCCAAGTGTGTGGATCGATGCTCATTTTATTAATCACTGGATTGTCTGGTCCAGGCTCGATTATTTACAGGCCGCTGTCGTATAGCTGGAACATTGCTGAGTGCGGCGTTAAACAACAAACCAACCAACCAACCAACCAAACAACTTAACGGCTTATCCCATTTTCAAGGCAAATAACATTTGAGATCACATGATTTGACAAATTGTAAGACATTTCAAACAACTTACGGCTCATAATCTAGTTGATCATTCTTTAACCGATCGAACTTCTCCTTTTTGATTCTCCTGCAAACAAAAAGGTCACAAAAAATGTCGGTACTGTTCATCATAAAAATATATATATAATTTACATAGCACAAAGCATATATGTCACTGCATCAATCTTCACATTTCTGAATGAGCAAATCCACGAAGGAGAGCAATCCACAAAATTTGAAATATGTATAAGAGTAACCATAACGATACGACACAGGTAAATCAAGAATAAGAATTCATATCAACTTACGTGAGAGGCTGTGTTGGGTCATCAGCCAGTTCCACCTCATCAGCTTGGATTTCTTGGAAGCACTTCTCACAGTACACGTATCTGTCAGAAATAGTTCCAGGTTTTAGTCTGCTATGGGCCCCAATACACAAGGGACACAGCAAAACAGGCAGGGCATGGCAGGACATTGGTATTTGTGATGGACACCAACACCACAATGACAGCAGGGCAGCGGCAGCAGCAGATAAATAAGCAGGGGGAGGAAATAAAAAGATGAGCATGAACAGGGGTGGTAGGAAACCAAGTGAAGCAAATCATGAGATGTGAGAATGCAATTATGTGTCTTACTCTTACTAGTGCATCAGGATTATACTGGGTTACTAGGTTTACTAGCTATGGGAATTACTAAATTCTAGCTAAAGGCAATAATGATCAAGACAAAGTTAAAAGCCTATGAAAGAATTGGTTACATAAGATTCTATAAAGACAATCCACCGAACACTGGCATCCTCCTTAATTAGTTATTTTACACTAATATGTCTGTATCTAAGTAACTATTAGTTCAATGTTACAATATATGTACATTTGAGAAAAAAAAAAAGAAGCAAAAAAAGCAATGCAGATCAGGTAATTTTCTGGGACACTGACCGAATTGCAGATTTCCCCCAAAATTTGATGACACACTAAAATGTCATGTCAAAAGTTGGTAAAATCATGAAAATGTCCAGCAAAATGTAACACCAACTTATTCTTCGTAATTTTAAAGTCTAAATACATTTTACATAAAAATACAAATTGTCAAATTTCTTTATGTTCAATGAAGTTGTTTTTTTAAGGACTCCCCACATTCATTTAAACCCAAACCTATGTACATGAGTGAATGATTGATGAGAGATCATTTATGAAGGCTTAGAGAGTTGAAGTGAATGCAAGGCTTTCAACTACTTGGTGATAAACAGTGATTAAAGGAAGATGCAGTGTATACAGTGGATTGGTAATATATGTGCACATGCCAATTTGTTGTAATACTGAGTTAAAAACTGACACTTCATAATTATTAAGAAAAAGTATGAATGGCATTTACCAAGAAGTTACAACTTTGTTATTTCATAAAATCATTCAAAACAATATTTATTTGTAACTTGAGACTGATGAAAATAAGAATTGTCAGTTACAAATAAATTTGTGTAAAATAGTAACGTTCAAGCATAAAGCACAGGCATATATATATGATATATATGATATAGATATGTATATATACTTTGTGACAAACAAGCATGGAACATGTCAAGACAAAACATAACTAACAATATCTGAAGTGTAATCATAGAAAGTTAGAGTCTTTATGAATTCAGATAACATTTAGATCAACATTTATATTGTTCCAAAATTCATTTAAGTAACTTTTTTCAGCCTTTATAGGAAACTGCAGTGACTAACTGACCTGTTTTGGTAGCTGTAGTACATGGCATCTCGGGGGATTGTACACAGCTGCTTGCCATAGCAACACAAAACTTGTGGGCTGAAGACGTACTTCCTACCACAGCAATAGCCGAGTGATTGCATCACACCATCTATCTCGCTCTCAAATACTTCAGAAAGCTGCAAGAATAAAGTTCGATAACATATATCAGAGATTATCATCTTCAAATGAAAAACACTTTAAAACTTCCTAATTTCTTTCTCAATATCGAAAATGACATTGGAAATTAATAAAACCTCTTCACAATAAAATAAATTCTTTGTCTTGCTAGTATGTTTTTACCAAAAATATAATCCTTCATATAACTTACCTTTGAACAGTATTTGTAGACTCGCGACGTCTTCCTATTGTACAGCCAGGCATTGTCAAACATTAGCCATACATCATCCACATATTCCCAGGGGTCCTGGTATTGACCAGTGTCCAGTTTCCGCTTGATAGTTGATAGGTCCATAGGTTTCTTCACAATTTCAAAGTAATCCTGGCAAAAGCAAATTAGTATCTTACATGCTTGACCTTGTAGTTATGCTTAAACTTCATATATCTATCCAGGAAATTTCTCCCGCCCAAAACACACTTAAAGTTAGACGGAATCCATATGATTGAGTGAATATTGTAATTGCAATAAAAGTGACCACAAAATACACAGAAAATTCATCCCTGTCAATGCGACCTCTGAATTGACAACTCACTGGTATCTGAAGCATGATGGGATCAACAGGCTGGCGGAAGGGCAGTGATTCAGGATCAACACGATACAACTTCTCTAGTGTAGGCATCAAAGCTTGCCGCAATTCATCAGGTTTAAATACTGAAACAACACAAAATCAGTTTCCATATATTCCAGTGTTTCAGATATGTTCAATTTCTAGGACATCAACTATTTGTCATCCAAAACTTTAATATAGATAACAACCACTGTAGATTACAGAGTGATAAATGAAATACATTTTTGGATGATGTCCTTAAAAAACACAAAGATTAAGTGAAGTTTAATTTTACCTTTCTTCCTTGGTTTCTGAGCAGCAGCAGCCGCAGCTCCTATAGGTACAGACGACTGGATACTGGTAGAAGATGAGTCACCTGAGCTGGCCTTACTATCCTCTGTGTTGTTGCTGGCTTCAGCATTACTATCAGTTGGTTCTTGCTTAGGGGTAGAGTTCTCAGGCACTGAACCTGACACAGAACCTGCCTCATCCTTAACAGGAATTGAACCCTGTGAATCCTCTGTGTCCATCTTTTCCACACTAGGCATGCACTTGCCTTTCCCAGATCCCTTTCCGGATCCCTTCCCTGATCCTTTCCCAAAGCCGCCTTTCCCTCCTCCTACACTGTTCACACTGTCCAATGAAGGTTCAGATTTTAGTTCTGTTTTGACCTCTTTCTTAATTTCAGATTTAATGTCTTCCAGGCTTGTGCTTGTACTGAGAGGCTGAGTATTAGATGTTGGTGTCATATGACTGGTGCTCATTGGTGACATGGCATTTGATGTTGATGAATCACTGGCCAAAAGGATAGCCAGTTGCTGGCTAGCCTCTGGTACTTCTTGCTTTACCACCACTTCCGGGTTCATCTGAGATTGGTCTCCTTGTAAGGACATTGTTGACGGCTTCCCTTTCATTGTACTGTTTGTCTTCAAATAGAGAATAATAACATAAGAAAATATGTACGGAGCATGGGGCAGCTAGCATTCCTTTGGACAATTTTTCTGACTGTTACTTTAAGAGATTTTCTATCTAATGTGTCTGTCTGTATAGTTACAGAGCTATCAAAATTATACCATGGAATTGGGAACTTTGTATTTCTCTGTAAGGTACACACTACTATGAACAGAGTAAAAAATCAAACACAGAAAAAACAAATCCTAAAAATCCCTAAATAGCAAAAGGTACCAGTTGACAACATTCAGCCATTGGTTAGTACATGTACCAGGTATTGATGAAAAGTCTTTCACAGTTTTCATGTTGAGCTCCGGAAACGACACCTACCCCCACCTTTTGAGACTAAGTCCAAATTGTTTTCATGGAAATCGAGAAAATAAAAATGCCCCAAATCCACAAATAGCAAAGGCACCACTTCAGGATCTGTTTGATACATATGCCAATTTTTGTTTAAAAATAATGAATAGTTTTCGAGTTTTCCACCCCCTTATGAGACTAAGTCCAATTTGTTTCCATGGAAATCAAAAATAATTTAGTAGCCAAAAATCTGCCAATAGCAAAAGGCATCACTTCAGGACCTGTTTGATACATATGCCAATTCTGTTTTAAAATATTGAACCTTTTTTTCCCCCGTTACACTCTGGAAACAAGATGATTATGGACAGACAGACGAGGCCTCGACTTTATCCCCCTGTATTATATGCCAGGGGCAGAAAAAGGCTATTAAATGCAGTCAAATGCAGTTAGAATGGGATATAACATGCCCAATTGTAATCCTTGAGCAGTATATACCCAATTGTAACCCTTGAGCAGTACTCATTCATGTCGTTTATCTCAGACATGCGCACTGCTGAGGACACTAATGAGATCTACCATCCTGAAATTTTTATGTATCTGTTTCTTGGACTTGAAAAAGGTCTGCTGATAATTTTGTGTTAACATGACAATGAGAAAAGCTGAGATGGTATTTTATGTTTCCTTGGTTTAAATGTCCAAGTACTTTAAATTCCTATGTGTAGTCAGTTCCAATACAGAGTTTTGACATTGAAAAAAGTTCTAGAAAAATAACATGATTAATGCCACAAGCTGTCAACAACATAACAAGGATTGTCAATATTGGCACATTCATAGCTACAAGTGAAATTGATATGGCACCAAAAGTCCACACATACCAAAAGACAGTTCCAAAAATTGTACTTACAGGTTGAGTTAACTGTTGTTGCTGCAGCTGCTGCTTCAGCTGCGACTGCTGTTGTTGTTGTTGCTGCTGCTGTTGTTGTTGTTGCTGTTGTTGTTGTTGTTGTTGTTGCTGTTGCTGAGTGTGTGTCTGATTTTGTTCTGTTAGTTGGTTCTGAAGTTGGGACTGTGGTGTCGATGTCTGGTGATTGGTCTGCAGCTGTTGCTGCTGCACTGGGGGTGGTTGCGGTTGTGGTTGTTGCTGCTGTTGTTGCTGCTGCTGCTGCTGTTGCTGCTGCTGCTGCTGCTGAATTTGATGCAGTTGCTGTGGGGATGGCTGTGGACGTGCCATATGCGGGGGAGTTTGCTGTTGAGGCGGCAGACCCATCTGTTGTGATGTTTGGGTTGGTGGGACCATGTGCATTCCTTGGAGACCAGCTTGATTCTGGTTCTGAGCTTGGGCCTGCAAAGACATTGGCGGTAGTTGTTGTGATGACATTGCCTGGTTCTGACTAGGCTGTTGCTGTTGCTGCTGTTGGCCTTGAGCACGTTGTTTCATAACCTCCTGGAATTGTCGCTGAGACTCTTGCAGGGCAGCATTCATAGTCATCTGGCCAATAGCACTGGACTGGGAATTTATCTAAAGGACACAAAGAAAGTCACTGTCAGTCTCAACCCTCGCACATTCAATTATAAGTACACATGACAGCCAATCTTTGTTAAGGTAGACAAAATAAGGTCACAATAACATACCTGATTTGGGGGAGGAGTTGTTCTCTGTACCATGGGCATTCGAGCCATGTTGGGCATCTGGGGCAGCTGAGGGACCTGTGGGACCTGCGGGACCTGGGGGACCTGGGGAACCTGGGGGACCTGAGGGACCTGGGGCACTTGGGACATGAAACTGTCGGTGGCATTCAGGGCTGCCTGAATTTGACTTGTATTTCCAGCAGCTCCATCTAAAAGATAAAATTGCCATCATTTGGTTATGGAATTTTAGCATGACACAAACTTTTCGACAGCCATGGAACTTAACTGCAAACTTTTCAAATGTAAGCAAAGACATGTAGCATTTTATATACTCACTTTGTGTCGTTGGTGGTCTAATTTGTCCTGCAGCCATTGGTCCCCCTGGGGGTGCACTTTGACGCATTCTGTTCATTCTCTTCTCTTCCAGCTCCTTCTGTATCTTGTATATTTTCTCAGCAAGAAGGTGATAATATTCCTCCTGCAGAAGTTAGTCATATATACTTCTCCTTAAATGTTTAGACTCAGTCACTTGCTTAGCACAAATGTTACAGCAACAAAATGTAAATGTAATTTGTAAAGATAGTGATTGCATTCACTCAGGGTTTGCTAAATGCATTTTAGTAGACACACTGTTAAAGTGATCATCTCAAGAACATACAAGGCAAAGGCACTGCAGCAGTTACAAAACTTGTGCTAACAATAGCCTGCTATATTACATCAGATGATTACAACAAAGTCATAACACGATGGACAAGATCCTACCAGAGCTCACAAACTTACATTCTATGAATATTTATAAATAAGTTGAAATTACATCAATCATATATCAGAGTGGTAATATTGTTCTGAACTAGTATTCCACCAATGAACAAAACACCACCTAAACATGGGAAGAACAAGTTTTATAAAGCTTCCAAGCAAAATTACACAGTAATTGACATACCCGACTATTTGCCGTCTCATACATGTCTCCCTCCACCTTCCTGGCATATGCGACTAGATTCTTCATTCGACTGTCTTTAAGTGCAGCAGGATCAGGGGTTGGGAAAATGGCTTGAACCCTGGACAAAACCAACAGCCTGTGATTAATCTCTAAAATGAACTAAAAGCAATCCATTACATCTGTAATTAGCATGCAAACCTAACAACTAATTATTTGACTGTCAAATTTCTTTAGAAACTGCAAAGACTAACACTCACAATTTGTGTACAAGATGATTGCGTAGATCCTGTGTGACATGCTGATGCCACTCTTTTGTCATGCGACTGTTCTGTGCAATGTTTCCTAGTCCTTCAGTTGAGTTGGGAGGTGGCATTCCTTGGGCTAAACTGGGCTGGGCAGCCATTAATTGCTGTAGAGCACTGCTCTGTGTTGGTGGAGCACTCATGCCACCTTCAAATACAAAGAAACTCATTAATGCAATGTTTCAAGTGTTAAGATAAAAATAATGAAAACGTGAATATTATACATAGAATCAGTAAGCTGGGATAAATGAAAAATCCAAAATAAGATCTGTAGCATACAAAAAAAAGAAGAAAAAACATTGCAAATGAGAGTGATCTTAACACATCAGCAGACCGAATGAGCATGGTCATTTTCTATACCATGCTCAGACTTTCACTAAAACACAATTTCTATTTTTAGTGGTACTTTAATTCATTTAACTGTTAAGTTTGGGATCACATAGAAGATTGAGTTTACCTGGCTGCATGCCTGATGGTACTTGTGGGTGAGATATTTGGGGTGTTGTTGTGGTAGCTGGTTTGTTGTAGCGCAATCCAAGGGCATCATAGGCCCTCTTCATGGCATCAGATGTTACGTCAGCACTTGCGTTGCTAGTCTGGGGTAAAGAGGCAGTGTTCTGAGGCAGGCCACCTGCTGCAGTCAGTCCCAAAACTAGAATAAGAGAAAAACATGTCACATCAGTAAAACACATTGTGAAAATATGGATAACGAAATAACCCAGAAAATACCTCATCAAAGCATCTACAACTGATAAACATAAGGTGACCAATCCCCACAACAGCATAGGCACTACTTCAGCCCATGGTTAAATACATGTACCATGTTTGACAAATCTTTCACGGTTTCAAGTAATGCTACGGAAACAAAATGTGGACTGACCAGGTGATGACTGTATCCCCCTGCATTATATGCCGGGCCATAAAATCAATACAATGCATACTCCCACAAAAGCATTGTTATGAAACCCTCATCAGTGAAAACAATCACAGCATGAATTGATTCAAAATTACATATCGTTTCACCTGGTTTCTATTTGATAAGAAATGAATGTGGTTATTGCTAATGAAACTGACCATACACATAATATTTCCTAGTCCCTGCATGATAATGATGATAGCAATCCCCCCCGAATAAGTATTACCTGTTGCAGCCGTGTTTCTACGATCAGACGCATGCTTCAAAGGTAAACACACAGGGCAGTCACTTCGTGTACAGTTCTTCCAGTGAGTGATTATCTGTCTGGATGATGCACAGTGTGCAACTGAAAGAAAACAAGAAAACAGATGTACAAAGAACAGGAAATATTGGTTATGGATATGTTGGTCTCAACATACTTTGGGCTGAGTATACAATGTTTTGTCAACAATTCCTTTGAAGGCTAAATCACTGGTTCTTGGCATTGGCTGGATGATATACAGGAAGGCATTTAATTTGTTTTAAGACAAAAATTAAAAATTATGAAATCAGGCATGCAATGTACATACAAGATAAATGTGGAAATTATGACAGTGCATACTATGCAGTCGACATGAAATAAATTAAAGTTTAAAATGACAAGCAATGATCATGTCAATGCATAGGAACATATTTACTAGATTCTTTAGGCCAGCATCCCAACATTTACACAACAGTCTTAGAGCCAGAATTGAAATTGAACTCAGAAAGGCAGGAAACGAGGAACTACACTTGCTCACTGTTCCTGATATGATTACACCACAAACTACCAGAAACACCCTGACTGCTTACCTTGACATGCCTTTCCAGCACTGCATGTTGTCATATGATTGAGAACATTTTTCATTGTTCTGCAATAAGGGAGACTACAAGCTTGTTCTCCATTGGCCATCTCTCGTCGCTGACACTTGTGGGCATGTAGAAGTAGCACTAGCTGCTGTTGTATCAGCTTACTCTTATCAGGATCTGCTGTTGGCTGTCGACCTGCTCCTGGTTGGCCAGGTTGTCCAGGCTGAGTGACACAAACAAAATGTATATAGTATGTCACCACTTTAAGCTAACAGAAAATAAACGAAATTTTAAATTAATGTCTTTGGTTTCAGATATTACAATTTAATAGAATATAATTGGGTTTTTTATCTGTGCAGACAGCATATCTTGTGTGAGAACTTAGGAAGCTATGCATATAATACACTGAAAAAAAGGCTGTTTAGTATCTTCTACAAGACAAGCTCAACAGTGTATAAGCATATTTTATATTCAACAACAGCAGTCAAAGTATTATTGAGGCATTAAATGAAAACTATAACTAGCATGTGCTTAATCATACAAGTAATTGAAAGATTACAATGTATTTCTGCATTTATATATCTTCAAGCATGAACAAAGTGCAACCATGTAAGCTGAGAGCGCGAAATTCTCCTGCATGATAATGTTATCAATTTGGTTTGGATCAGCATGGTCAGTTGGCCTTGCTACACATTAATCCCCTGAAACATATTTATTTCCCAAACAAGCCATAGACAGTAGGTTGCACTTTGTTTAATAAGCACAGTATTGTCAATGTGTTTTATGATGAAACTGTAAAACAATGATGGTGAGTGTGATACTTACATTGTTGATAGCATTGGCAGGCATGTTTATAGGGGGTGAAGCCATAGGCAGAGTAGTTGTCATTGCATTTGAGAGTGGTGCATTGAAGGTAGTTGATGATGGATGACCGGGGGCGGAGGAGAAGTTGAAGGAACCACCACCGCCACCACCAGGTGGGACAGACTGTCAGCACAACAAAAACAAACTAAGTTTCTACCTGCCTTCTACAAGAGTCGGGTACTAAATAGCATTAGGCTTGTGAACTAGACTAATTTTGTGATGATATTTCTGTGGTTTTAGGCTATAGTAATTTACAGGAGGAACAGTAATGCAAATTAATCTGCAATAGCCCACTAGCCAGAATCAGTTTGTCTAATGTTCAAGCAATCCTTAGGGGTAGTAAAATGCCAGGCTTTTTAAGTGGACATGCTCACTATTCAAGCTATTAAACATTTCTGGTTAAGTTGTGTCTGATTGTAACAATGACCTCCATCTTTGATTTCGAACATTACCATGATCAACTTTTCTTCATTTAAGTATGGACATATTGCTGACAGGCAAAATTGGATAAATTCAGGAAAACATATCCAGGCTATGCCAGATAGCAGAACCATCTGGTGATTGTTCATCCCACATCAATGATGCATTTACAATATTACAATAATGGGTTTCAATTCATAAAGATATTATCAAATGTAGGGCAGCAGACATATCATTTGGAGATTATGCAGCAAGGTCTAGGGTAACACTGAAAGTTGTAAGCGATGTCCAAACAAGCTTTTTTCAGATATTTTTTTATTTCAAGCTTTCTCTCATTCAATTTTATTTGTTTATAATTTTTAAATCATGTACATATAACTTTCATAAGTTACAGAATGTGTTAAGATCTACATGTTTCAAGTGCAGCTAGTTCATTTACTTAGGAAATAAATATATGGTCGCTATATGGCTGAAATAATAGAGATGCGACGTTAAATTTTAACTCACTCACTTTAGAAATACTTTTATCATCGTAAAAGGTTTCTTCACTACCAATAATATTCCTCACAAACCTTTTTACAACCATGTTCAAAATAAAATGGGATTCCTTGCATTTAGTTATGTCACCGTATTTCAAACTAGGTACCCCCAAACTTTGTAACTGGTATTATTAATGATTATGATAAGGAACCGTAACTTTCATACTTAATTTCTGAACAAAATGTATCATTATTTTCCATGACTTTAATACCTTTAATATCTGTGGGAGTTCCGAAAATGTGCATGGTCACTGAACCAAAAGAAGTTGGTTAACAGTAATTCCTAATCAATTGTCAAAACTCAGAAACCTTTGTAAGATGGAAGAGAAGTATGATTTCTAGAGTGTGGTGGGAATATCATTGAGTGAATAAGAAACCAATGATCACAGAATTCATAAACAATAGCATCAGGATTGAAAACTGATAAATGTCAGCATGTTTCTCATTATCTGACTTGACTTCAACATCCATGTACACAGTACCAATATTGCAATCTGGGTCAGTGAATGAGGGACTAGGAATATGAACACCACTTAGAATTCTTGCAAGTTATTGATTTTTCATCACGATAATTATATGAAATCTTGCTCAGTCAACCAATGACAGTTTAGTGCCTTATTAGTGAATACTGCATTGTGTCGTAGTAAGGGAACAGCATAGTTTCTGATGGTACTTTAAAAGATTTTTAACAGATTCTTTCTATGATGGAATTTCAGGGATTTGTTAAATCTTGTAGTATTCACCTCACAACTATTTTGATATGCCCCTATGAAATCTGTAACAGTATGATTTGTTTCAGTAGACCTAGTTAATATATATTGGGAGTTCTTGAAATTATTTTACCAGGGACCAACCAAATATTTATATTTGGGCATCATGATTACAAGAAGGACACCTGACCATTCAGGTTTTCTCCTTACATTAGTACTCTGTAGTCAATGGCAGATATCATTTTATCATTGAAGACCTGTATTTTTTATATCATTATGGAAAGTTAATGGCCCTGGTGAGTCAGTTAATGAGATTAACATACTTGTAAAGAAGCCATTAAGTATTGCACCACATAAAATAATCATCAATTAGTATGATTAACAAGTTGTCAAGACAGTATTAAGACACTTTGATGGCATTGCGTATGTTAAAACAACTTTCAATAATATCCTAGAATCAAAGATTCCTGACAGGAAGAACATCTAGGTTATTTATACATGGCCTTCTTCGATAAGTATGATGCTATTTTAAATAGCTTTACTGAACATAAGATGGATCTACTTGAAGTAGATATTTCATCTGAAAGTTGCTCAGTCGTATTGAAGCCTTGGTATATGTGGTAGCCTGTGCCAAAGACTTTCGAGTCCACTAGCCTGGACACGACCCCTTGCACCATTTTATTCGGATTTTAGTCCTACGTGGACCATTGTTAGTTGAGCTTACTAGAACAGAATTTTACTCAGGATTTGGACTAGTGGCAAAAGTCGCCAATCTATTTAGTGTTTTTATGCTGTGCATTTATCAAGTTCAATAAAAGACAGGACTAATGACCAATGTATTGTTTGAATAAATAAATTGGTCGCAAAAGACCATATTCTCTTCCATGTGCTTTGAAAGCCAACATAAAATGCACATAAAACAAGGACTCTAATGAATCACTAACAGACCAAAAACATACCACTTTTTCTATCATGCAAAAAAATTTGTTTACCAGACTCGACCTCTGAAGGTAAGTATGTTCCACCTTTATCATCAGTGTTCTTGCATTAAAATTCTCCTTTTAAACTCAGTTTCCATAATTGTGAACTTAACCTTGCTGCTTATTGACAAAGTTACAAGCCTCACATATTGTTTATTCTAGCTTTCAAGAGGTTTTTCACTTATGCTTAAACACATTGTAGAACTAGGTGTAGTGAGATACTACTGGGTTTTAGGGCGATTTGTGATTAGAGAACCAAGAAAAATACAGAAAAGCTTACTGACTGGTGCACACACTGATATCAAAAATGAAAAGAGCAATGGCAGGTTATATACTAAAGTGCAAAGACAGAGTGGTCCTCACTATAAGAGGCCATATTATAAATAGTGTGCATCCTGTGAAGGATATGACAAGAAACAGGATTCAAAAATGACTGAATGGTTCTACTGGTTCCATCCAACTACAAAAGATTATCTATTACTAAGCCTCATCTACGTGAATACTGAAGTGAGCTGATATAGTGCAAAGCAGAATCTCAAACAAATGTGTTACATACCTTGACCAACTGCTGCTGAGCCTGAGAGGAACCAAGCCCCGGGTGTCCCATGTTCTGGTGACCAGGCAACTGAGACATGTTCAAAGACGTCCCCATCACATTCCCAGGGCCCTGTTGCATGGATATTGCATTGGCATTACCAATACTGCTAGATGGTATATTTCTAGCTTGTCCCATACCACTTGTCGAGTAGTGTGGTCCATTCATCAGCTGATTTGGATTATGTTGACTCATGTTAACATTACTGACAGATAGAAGCTGAGAGGTCATTGGCTTCACTGTTCCCATGTTGGTCCCTCCTGCACTGGACACAAGAGAAAACCCACTATTTTGCAAATTAGAGTCTGACATACTCATCATGTTCTGTGGATTCATTGGCCCACCTTTACCAACTGCACCATGAACTGGGGACATATTGTTTGTATGGGGACTCTTCACTGCGTTCACATTGGCATTAGCCATAGTTCCAACACCAGGACTTCGGCCTGCATTTTGATTCTGCGGACTTGCAGCAATACTGTTAATAATAGAGGAGACACTTGGTTGTGGGGTTGGGGTAGAACTTGACAGGAGTTGGGAAAGTTGATTTTGTGAAGTGGTCTCTAAACTTGGAGTATCAAGAGTACCAGGGTTATTATTATCACTTGTAGCAACCAGTTCATCTGGGAGTGCATTGGCAATATTCAGCAAGTTATCCAAGGTAAATTCTGAAAGATAAAACATGTAATATAATACATGTATAAAAATGATCTAATGCTGAACATCTCTGTCCAAGGAAACATTTCTTTTGCTTCAGAATATAAATCTAAAATGTTATTACAAGGGCTTACTTTACACACCAGGAAAGCTATATAAAAATAATAACAAAAACTCCTTGACCATAGCAAATGTATCCTTCAGTTGAGCAGAATAATTATATTTCCATGTTCGTAGGTTGCCAGTATATGGTCATCTTTTAGGAGAGCACAGAGAAAAAAAGAGCTGTTCGCTCTGACACCAAACAAAACCAAAACACCTGATGTTTCAGAGGTGGTTTCATACCACATACACTCAAGACAAATCAGATACTAACATAGTTGGATATTTGTAATTAGTCATTGCTCCATTGCCAGCAGTAGAAACAGGATAGTCCTTACAGTGATTAGTATAGGTCATCTTCAGATAAAAATACATGTTCCACTTGTCCATGCAAACCAGTGTGCAGTTTTTCTTTAGCTGTACTGTGCCTGTTTCGGAGCTTGCATTACTACATCATTGACCAAGGGAAAGATAACTATAACAATGTAGGTTCTACTTCCTAGTTTACTTTTTTGCTTGACAAAGTTGTTATAACATTAAAAATGATCCCCAGCAAGAGTAGTATTCATAAGATCAAATCTGATCAAAAGAATAATTCACATCCACCATTGTACCAAACAAGGAACTAACACGTGAAGTCTACCATAACCACCTCATAGAGCTGCTAACTGTATATTTATTTATTTATTCACAAAGCATCTAGGCACAATGTGTAAATGAAATTGGTGAAGACAGTTCCGGGCCCCAAGATTATACGTGGAATCAAATATCAAACAACATAAATGATAACCCACGAGACGTTTGAAATACCGATTTGAAATAATCCTGGTAAACGTTCACTGACGTCGGAAAGCATGCATCTAGTGCAAATCATTTCCACACATGAATACGACAAGAAACTGGCTGGAAAATATATCCTGCACTTTGATTTTGAAAAGAAACGCGGAGTTCTTCGTGGAACTCAATCTGTCAAAAACGATGCCTTAGCCTACCGTGGCTATGTAGAAAATTAATGCTAACTAGGACGGACTTGCAAATTCTCTACATAACCATTTTAAGTCGACAAAGAGGAAGAAAATGCATACAGCAACAAAGCAAGAATTTTACGAAACAGTCGGCGCTCTTACCTGAGCTAAAATTTTCCCCGCACCGAGCTAAAAATGCAATTTTACACGATGCACGGGGGCCGACTGTCAACATGAAAATTAACAACATTTTACGCATAAAATTATCGCATTGAACAGTTGCGCATATCCCTATTCCATACTTTAATTTCGTAACAAGTAGTAGTGTTCCGTTATTTTTGCAACAAATGCAACATACCTCCACTGTCACTGGGCGTGAGTGTCGGCGAGGCAATCTTCTGTCGCTTGGCCGCTGGGGGCCCATCCACAAGCTGGTCAGCCATGTTTTTGGAGGTAGCTTCCAAAAATTAGCGGAACAGCACGACTTCTTCCGATTCTTTGGAGAGTTTAAGCCTCAGTTAGGCTTCATTATAATACAAAATGTCTTCCAGTCTTTAATTCTTCCCATATCTTTGATAGATATCCAAATAACACTCATCAGGAATTCCCGATAACCGTGTTACTCCATGATTGTGAGCACAAAGCCGCGAACGATTCAACTTTTCGCTTCAAAAACCCGGCGAAGTTACCTTACGGACAGCCATTCTTGATCTTAAAGCCTCCCTTAGAATCCTAAAGACCTCCTCAAAGGATAAAAGTCGAACAAAATTCCTTCAAAAAGAAGATTTTTTGATGGAAATCTGTCGATTTTTCCGATCAGGAACACCTAAGATGGCGGCTGTTGATGAAAAGTTTTACGCTTGTGACAGCACACGCCGAACATTCCCGAACAGGGATAGCTTTACCGGAAATTAATTATTCAGAAATCGGCCAATCTCATTGGTCAAACTGGGTCACGTTGCACCTTGAGCTCATTTTCGGAACCATAACCTCACATAACGGAATATTCCGAAACGCTACGATTAAGAATTATGGGAAGGCAATAAAAATACTCTCAAACCTTTCGCGTCAAGGCTTCGGGGAGACAGCGGCACTGGTACTGTCCGTACTAATAGAAAATTGTCAGTAAAATAATTAAACGAGGCGGTGAATTTGTTATGAAAGCTATTATATAAATTTAATTTATTCTATGATATCAACAACTTTTTTTAAATGATAGTAAGCGTTCCAAAATAATTTAATTGCCCACCTTTTGTATTTGTAATATTTCATAAATAATGAGGAATTATTATGTAAGGGAAAGGATATTGAATATATATTTATTTAATTTTTAACAAAGTAAAGGGTTTTTAAAGTTTTACTGATTTAGTGTAGACGTGTGTGCATTTGTCGAAATATGTTTGTTTCAAGTAGATGTTTTTATTATTAAAATTGTACATGTTGCAGTAGCGTATAACTAACAGGATAATAAACTAAACGATGTTTGGACCATGATTTTGCCTACATGTACAGTGACTTACCTCTAACTATTAATAATGACATCAAATTTATACCTTAGTTGAAGAAATGAAACATAATCCATGCATTGATTCTGATATGTATCCAATAAGAATATACAAATGGGGAGGTCAGGTCAATCTTTAATGAATCACGCTTGGATAAATTCCGTTAGTCTAGAAATATAAATATCAAATGCATTTATGTTTTTGAAGGAATATATCCGTAGTTTCAAAATAGCTCCAGTTCATGATAATATCCCTTAATTAGCTTTTAGCTGGAATGACATGTGAACTTGATGTATATAAAAATACATACCCAAAAAGTAGGACGCATATTTACATATAATTACTTATGGCCAACTAGTTGTATACAGTTCTCGTTTTATAATTAAACTGGAGGACACGGATATGCAAATTGGAACTCAATCGAGCTCCTTAAATAAATTCTGAAAAATAATATTTAAAAAAAAAGAAATCCCGAAATAATCAGTTTATGTTTCATGCAAAAAAATGTTTTTTCGTATTTGTGAAGAAAGCATCCTTTATTACGGAATATTACGTACGCACGCACGCGCACACACACACGTGTACGCACATACGCGTGGGACATATATTTGTTCAGCTGTGTTCCGCTTTTCGCTTACGATTGTGACTGGATATTTCATTGTCATTGCAAGATTTTCATATTATTTCTATTCTTTTATAAAATAATTCAGCTGAGAAGGGTTTTGGATTATTGACTACAAAATGTACTTTGGGTTATCAGATTGTGACTGGATATTTTATTGTAATTGCAAGATTTCCAGATTATTTCTATCCTTTTATAAAATAATTCAGCTGAGAAGGGTTTTGGATTATTGAATACAAAATGTACTTTTGGTTATCAGAAAAAAAACCATCATGAATACTCTCAATGCTGAAATATTGCTAAAAGCGGCGTAAGGCAATACTCACTCACTCACTATATACGAGCCAAATTCACAACAGCAGCAATATCACGGCGGGGGACACCGGAAAATGGGCTTCACACATTGTACCCATGTGGGGAATCGAACGTGACGAGCCAACGCTTTAACCACTAGGCAACCCCACCGTACCGCTCGTATATAGTAGTAGTAGTAGTAGTAGTTGGTTGGTTTGTTGTTTACGCTGCACTCAGCAATATTCCAGCTGTATGACGGCGGTCTGTAAATAATCGTGTCTGGACCAGACAATCCAGTGATTGATATCATGAGCACTGATCCACGCATTTGGGATCGATGACATGCATCAACCAAGTCAGCGAGGTTAACGAGGACATTGAGAGTATTCATGATGTTTTATCTGATAACCCAAAGTACATTTTGTATTCAGTTATCCAAAACTCTTCTCAGCTGAATTATTTTATAAAAGAATAGAAATAATCTGAAAATCTTGCAATTTGTACAATAAAATCTCCAGTCAAAAACGTAATCGTGAAGCGGAACACAGCTTAAACAATTGTATGTTCCACGCGTATGTGCGTGCACGTGTGTGTGTACGCGTGCGTGTGTGCTTGCGTGCACGTGTGTGTAATATTCCGTAATAAAGGATGCTTTCTTCACAAATAAGATTTTTTTTTATTCTGCATGAAACATAAACTGATTGTTTCGGGGTTTGTTTTTATAAATTATTCAATCGCTAAAACGGCAGGTGTCGAGCTCACAACAGCTATAACGGTACCTGGCGACCTCCCAACAGCTATAACGGTACGCGGCGAGCTTTCAACAGCTATAGCGGTACGCGGAGAGCTCACAACAGCTATAACGGTTCCCTGGCGACGTCACAACCGCTATAAAGGTACGCGTCGAGCTCACAACAGCTATAACTGCACGTGGAGAGCTCACAACCGCTAAAACGGCACCTGGCGACGTCACAACCGCTATAAAGGTACGCGTCGAGCTCACAACAGCTATAACCGCACGCGGAGAGCTCACAGCCGCTATAACGATACGTGGCGATCTCACAACAGCAATAACGGTACGTTGCGAGTTCACAACAGCTATAACGGTACGTCTCGACCTTACAACCGCTATAACCGCACGTCACGAACTCACAACAGCTATAACGGTACATGGTGACCTAACAACATCTATAAAGGTACGTGTCGAGTTCACAACAGCAATAACGGTACGTGTCGACCTTACAACCGCTATAACGGTACATGATGACCTCACAACATCTATAACGGTACGTCTCGACCTTACAACCGCTATAACCGCACGTCACGAACTCACAACAGTAATAACGGTACGTGTCGAGCTCCCAACAGCTATAACGGTACGTGTCGAACTCACAACAGTAATAACGGTACGTGTCGAACTCACAACAGTAATAACGATACGTGTCGAACTCACAACAGTAATAACGGTACGTGGCGAGCTCCCAACAGCTATAACGGCTTACATATACCGAGTTCACAATAATACCTGTAACGGTACGTCTCGACCTCACAACCGCTATAGACCCGTGAAGATTCGGGGTAGAATAGGTCTATGCTTGTGGTAGGAGGGGACTAACGGGATCAGGTGTCAGTCTCGCTGTCTTGGTATTGATGCTCATACTTACGGAGTGTTCTGATGCTCATACTTACGGAGTGTTTTGATGCTCATACTTACGGAGTGAACTGATGCTCATACTTACGGAGTGTACTGATGCTCATACTTACAGAGTGTTTTGATGCTCATACTTACGGAGTGAACTGATGCTAATACTTACGGAGTGTACTGATGCTCATACTTACGGCGTGTACTGATGCTCATACTTACGGCGTGTACTGATGCTCACACTTACAGGGTGTACTGATGCTCATACTTACAGAGTGTTTTGATGCTCATACTTACGGAGTGAACTGATGCTAATACTTACGGAGTGTACTGATGCTCATACTTACGGCGTGTACTGATGCTCATACTTACGGCGTGTACTGATGCTCATACTTACGCCGTGTACTGATGCTCATACTTACGGCGTGTACTGATGCTCATACTTACGGCGTGTACTGATGCTCATACTTACGGCATGTACTGATGCTCATACTTACGGCGTGTACTGATGCTCATACTTACATGGTGTACTGATGCTCATACTTACGGAGTGAACTGATGCTCATACTAACGGCGTGTACTGATGCTCATACTTACGGCGTGTACTGATGCTCATACTTACGGAGTGAACTGATGCTAATACTTACGGAGTGTACTGATGCTCATACTTACGGCATGTACTGATGCTCATACTTACAGGGTGTTTTGATGCTCATACTTACGGAGTGAACTGATGCTAATACTTACGGAGTGTACTGATGCTCATACTTACGGCGTGTACTGATGCTCATACTTACGGCGTGTACTGATGCTCATACTTACGCCGTGTACTGATGCTCATACTTACGGCGTGTACTGATGCTCATACTTACGGCGTGTACTGATGCTCATACTTACGGAGTGTACTGATGCTCATACTTACGGCGTGTACTGATGCTCATACTTACGGCGTGTACTGATGCTCATACTTACAGGGTGTACTGATGCTCATACTTACGGAGTGTACTGATGCTCATACTTACGGAGTGTACTGATGCTCATACTTACGGCGTGTACTGATGCTCATACTTACAGGGTGTACTGATGCTCATACTTACGGAGTGTTTTGATGCTCATACTTACGGAGTGAACTGATGCTCATACTTACGGCGTGTACTGATGCTCATACTTACAGGGTGTACCGATGCTCATACTTACGGAGTGTACAGATGCTCATACTTACGGCGCTTACAGATGCTCATACTTACGGATTGTACTGATGCTCATACTTACGGAGTGTACAGATGCTCATACTTACGGCGCTCACAGATGCTCATACTTACGGAGTGTTCTGATGCTCATACTCACGGAGTGTACTGATGCTCATACTTACGGAGTGTACAGATGCTCATACTTACGGCGCTTACAGATGCTCATACTTACGGAGTGTACTGATGCTCATACTTACGGCGTGTACTGATGCTCATACTTACGGAGTGTACTGATGCTCATACTTACGGGGTGTTCTAATGCTCATACTTACGGCGTGTACTGATGCTCATACTTACGGCGTGTACTGATGCTCATACTTACGCCGTGTACTGATGCTCATACTTACGGAGTGTTTTGATGCTCATACTTACGGAGTGAACTGATGCTAATACTTACGGAGTGTACTGATGATTATACTTACGGCGTGTACTGATGCTCATACTTACAGGGTGTACCGATGCTCATACTTACGGAGTGTTCTGATGCTCATACTAACGAAGTGTACTGATGACCATACTTACGGAGTGTACTGATGCTCATACTTACGGCGTG